ACGCTGCCATACGTAAGATAAATCATGCATTTTATATTTTTGCTTTTATAGTCCAGCAGTAAAAAAGCCATATAATGATCCAGGCCTTTGTCGTTACATAATAAAACCACTTTACATTTTGATGGTATGTGATACCATCCGCTCCTGGATTCGCAGAGGTCACCTATACGAAATTCCGTAGAAGACAGCCCCCAATTTTACCTGAACTGGTCATGCTTCGCCAACATGTCGTGTCTGTGCGAATTTTCTTCAGTTCAAACGGATATTTAACCGAAAGTACAGTTTACTAGAGCGTAATTAGTATCCCTTCTATTAACAACAATATAAGCAGGTATTCAGTCGGATAATGAAGACTTTTCTAAAGTTAACGCAAATTACGATGTCGAACAAGAAAAAAAAGTTTAAAAATGTAACGCTTTTAAATGTGTATCATTTAAAGTTTTAGAAATGTCACGGACTTTCTCTATTCGCATGTGAGAAACTGCCCACTAGTGAAAGAAAATTTGCATAGATGACTAAACACGGGTGGCTAAGTTAATTTGGCCTGGATTTTTTGCAATTAGCCGAAAAAAAAAGTAAAGCAAAATTTCGAAAAAATGTTAGAATTCCCGAATTTTTAACATTTTCTTCAAAATCAAGATTTGTCCTTTAGAATGATATAACTTTGTTTCTTTTCATGTAACCTATATTGGCAAAAAATAATTTAAGAAATAAGACAAATTGTAGCGCTTTTTCAAACGCACGAGATTAATTCTTTTCTCAAAAATAAGAACATGTTAAACAAATATACATACATTTTAATTAGATTTTTGAATAAAAACACACACTATCTACCAAAAACCTAATGTTTTGTAAACATATTAACCACAAACTGATCTTTCTCAGGTGAGAATTAGTAGTAAAAAAGATTACAAAAGTTTTGCCTCCTACGTACACTAATTTGTCCGACCCCCACCCTGTGGAACCCTTTTAAAAATTAAATAAAACGATATTAAAGGAAAGATAAATTTCTACCATTTTTCGTATGTTATTTAGAAAGAATTTAACTGAAGTTATATATTCAAATTTTCTGTTTTGAGAAGTTAAAAATAACAAAATCTATCTTGTTCACAAAAGAACAAGAATTTTCAGTATTCTAAAAAATTAACGAATACTGAAATCATTTCTTTAAGTTCTCTAAAATTCGAAACAAAGTGAGGCAAACAATTACTGTACTTATATATACAGTGATAGATATAGCTCGCGAAAAGCTCCCCCTCACAAAATATTTAACTAGTCAAAAATAAAAATAAATTATGTTGGCGTTGTGAAAAATACTAATTTTTGAGATAAAATAAAATTTAAGCTACTAAGAAAAAAATAGAAAAATAGTCTTATTAATAGTAAATTTACATAAAAATTTAAACACAATCAAGAACCGAAAAACACATTGAAAACTTGTTTTTCAACTCACATCGGTATGATTTTGGAAATACAATCCGTTACGATATTCTAGAGTAATTATTTGATGAATTTCAACAAACCTGAATAATAAAAAAATATAAATTAAAAAAAAATTGTAGGTGCATATGAAAAATAACGAAAAAAATGCAACTACAACACATTCGTTGATACCTGGCACGACAAAATAACAAAATAGGAGTAATTGCTAGTTTTGCCGAAAAAAATAAATAAATAAAAGACAAAATTAAATTCTAAATAATAATAGAGTTGTTATAACAACAATAAAGCTTTTGATGCGGAAGTAAATTTGAAACAATATACTTAATTATATGAATTAATTCCAAACAACTATTTGAAAATAAATTAAATTTTCCAATTTTGTAACTAATTTTAGATATGTATTTTGTTTCAGATTCATGGTGTTTTATTATTTTTTTGTCACAAACTGGGTCAGACAAAAATCAGTGTATTACAATAAATAATTCTGAAAAAGCTTCAACTTACGGAATTCCCACACTAAAGCACCAAAGAAATTCTTCGTTTCAGCATAATCCACCGTTTTAAATTTTTGCGAGAAAAATAAATTGTTTGAAATCACGCAGAAGCATATCAAACGGCACGCGCAATCGACCACGGTGCGTAACTGTAAATGTTAAAGAATCATCAGCACAAAAAACTGGCGTTACTCAAAGCTCCTGCAAGCACGTGAAAACGGTCGGTACATAACCAGCGTTACATTTGCAGGAACGTCATTCCGTAACTGTTGACTGGATGGAAGAAGCCGTTGGTGGCCAATACAAAAGAAACGTCGGATAGAAGCGCGCGCGCGCAAACTCCAGCAGGAGGTTGCGGAGATGCCCGTCAGACACATTATTTCGTCTCGTTCCCGCGTTCTTCCTTTCAGCGCGTTTCCGGCAGGAGGGCTGCTGGATTCATGGACAGAATTCAAAAACACAATTTTGACGTTCCTATTATTAGGTTCGCAAACAATGGAAATACAAGCAAACCGAATGAGACGGCAGGAATTGGAGACTCGCAGGAAGGTAACTCCTGCTATAAAAAGGCTGATTGCGTCGTACTTCAGGAAAATGTAATTTGGAATTATATCTGTCTTATTATCGGATTTTCTTTTTTGTTTTTCTCTTGATTAGTCTTTATATTTAGTTGTAAAAATTGCGGTGGTGTTGGGAAAATCTTAATCAATAATTTGTTATTAAATTACAGAATAATTGTGAAACAGCTTTAAATAATAAATTGGGCTCCTACATAATGTAAAAACTTTTTCCATACAGATACACAGAGCTTTAGATTATAATTATCCTATTAAATATGCTCTCTAAATTTTTTAGTGGCTCTTAAATTAGAATCAATCTAGTACATTAGGTACTTAAAAAAAACTTTTTCAGTGCATTTGGAAACAGTAATTGATGTATTTATGCATTCTGAAATATTTCTTCCAAAATATTTCGGCGTTTCAGTAGTTTTACAGCTATGAATTTTAAAATTCCGAAACGAATATAAAGTAAAGCCATTGATGAATGTAAGTTAGAATAAAAAGGAGATTAATGAATAGCATAGTTAATGAATGTTTAAAGCATTTTTTTAGGTCATGAGATGCATTTATGAAGCTGATCAAATTATAATAGTAATAAGTAATATTGTGATGATTTAATTGCTTTTAATACCAAAAAAATTAAATGTTAAGTATGATAATTCAAAACCAGTATCGGGTAGCAAATTTAATTATATACTCACAATTTCATATTAAAAAAACTGTGGAGTATTATGATTACATTTTCAACACTGATAAACAGATCATAAACCAAGCGTAAACGTGATTTTAATATTCATGTAATCAATTTCTTTTATTTTGTCTTTATTTTTTAATATTAACTAAAAAACTGCAAGCGTTTAGAAGAATTTAAAAAAATCGCCAAACACGCAGTACGAAAAAAGAACTAAACTCCTCACGCTGTCCGTTTGAAGAAGTACACAACACGAGACGCATACAAACGTCAAAATTACGAACATGCATTATGTGGTTTTGCATTGTAGTAATAATTTCCAGACATTTTTGCTTACATATAATGTAGCAAATTTTAAACAAAGAGTCAATAAATACTGTATTTATATTTAAATACTATAAAATATTTTTTGTAGTTGGATTTCTTCCCATGTAAAATTGCTTCATACCAGTCTTTGATGATAATAATTTTATGCAGAACTTCCGCAAATTGTGACACAAATTTAGGAAAAAGTAACTAATTAAATGACCTGCAGGTACCCGCAGCAGACGGCAAACTACTGTCATTTTAGCTCAACTAACACCGAAATTATGAATATTGTGATAAATTTTTGTTTTTGTTTTAATGACTTCCTACTTCATTTTAGCAAAATATAGTATATAAATTTGTTGTTAATATTTGTAATAAAATTAAACCCTGCATATTTCTTATTAATAAAAAATCCTTACTACGGGAAAACTAATCTTACTTTATAATTAATAGCTCAGTACGATAACTTTGCAAAAACCTTCCAATCTATTCCTTAAATTTATTTCCCAAGTGAGAATATTGTGTGGCAAGGCGTAAACCTGTATTTCAAGTTATTATGAATCCATAAATAATTCGTAAATCATGCAGCAAAAAGATCCTGAATAAATCATTAGGTATTTAGTGGCAAAAGCTTACAAAATCGCTTGCTGCATTTTCTCCAGTTGTGTAAAAACAGTACAATTCCGTAAAAAGAGTTAATAGTCTGTAATCTGTCGTTTTTGTCACATTTCCAGCTTATTTTTTATCTCCATTAACGGAAAACTGCCTCTTTATGATTAATCTCCGTTAAAACATCAAAGTGGGACGTTTGAGTTTTTCAGATGATATAAACTCGTGGCAGTAATCAATCTCAAGCCATTACGACAACCAATTTTGCCGACAAACAAAATAATAAAAACAAAATTGTATTGCTCGAACGATAAAAATACAATGTGAGCGAAAGATTCGAACCGTAACCATTACATAGGTGACTTCAATCGCGTCAAGGAAACACGGTTCGTGGAACAAGATAATGTTTAAATGTCTAGCTAAGTTGGCGAGATGTAGAAAGGATGCAAGCAACATGAAATTAATTATTATTGCCGACATGATTGATCCAATCAATAATAAAGAGAAATGCGGCTATTACAAGCAATGTTTATTATAGGTAGTCGCATTTTAGCGATTTTACAAAATATAGAAAACACAGTTATGTTAATGTATCGGAACTGTCGCATTCAGAACAAATTTCACTCATTCCCGCAATATATTATTAGCTAATTACCCATTCGTAGTTGAAAAAATTAGATCCAAACTAGTAATATGCAAATTAAAAGTTTCTTCTTTGCTAATTTATTTTATTATCTTGACTTTGATGAAGTATTCCACTTTTTTACTTACATAAGCCTGATTTAAATATTTAACGATGATACGACAACAAAATAACTGGTAATGATACAAATAAACACAAAATTTTTATTAATCGTTCTCAACTAACTTAAATTGGTTCAAAATAAAACTTACCTGAGCTACATTTTCGAAGTGTTCGTGGCTTTTTTGATACACTCTGGCTTTTTGAAGATTTCTTCCAATTCCAGTGTTTTTTCTGATAAATACTTCACCGTGATTAGAAAGCCAGTCTAATACCTGTAACGACAAAACGTTAAATACGATTTTTATAATTTTTTTAACACTTACTTGTTTAACATCTTCCTGAAATAATCTTAAGGCTAAACGTTGGTGTAATTTGATTTTCTTTGCATGCCATTTTTGTTCAAGTGCTCTATGGTGATTTAGAATTTGATGAATTACGGCTAAAACATGACTAGCACCTTCGCTATAATCAGCAGCTGGATTTCCTCCGGGTCTATTTTCATAATTGCTTCCATCACCCTAAATAAATAAAAAAAGTTTTCAGTTTCAAACGCTTATCTCTAGTGATGTTAGTTTTAAATTGATTAGATTCAAGACACTTTCAGTAACTTAGAAGGTGATATAAATTTTAGTAAATTAGTAATAAAGAGGTATATTTACATGTTTCTTGTCACTCCCTGGTTGATTGCAGACTTGCACCAAATGATCCAATTGATATAGAAGTTTCTTACTGGTACTATGAACCTGTCACCAACCAACACCATTAAAATGCGAATTATATCTAACTACATGAAATTAAACAGAAATAACAGAACAAGAAGAAGGGAAGTGTATAGAAGAAGACCTCGAAAATTCACCAAAATCCCTATAAAAAATGCGATTCATACGTTGATTAAATTTGTACTATGATTCCCTTCTCCATCTGTAGCGGTTGGTACATTATGGCACACTTGTAACATCACATCCAATCCGTTTAAAAGTGATTGGTACGAGTTATAAACCTAAGACATTAAATATAGTTTTACTAATTTTGCCAATGTGTTATGCTAGACAAATCTGAGTTTCCAGTAAACCATTAAAAATTATAACTGATTATTACAAAAACACATAACACTAAGTCTTATGAAATAAGCAAATAAAGTGAATACAATTTACATAAAAAGTAACTTCTAAAAGAGTAACATACTTATAAAATCAAGATGTGTTACAATGTCTGTTTTAGTTGTAATTACATTAAAAAAGCATCGTCTTTTGCTCACATAAAAGTGTAAGAACAAGAAATTACTCTATCGTGAAAAGAGTACTCGTGCAAAGTACGTACGTGTTTACGATAACTTAATGCTCTGTATTTTCAAAAAATCAGCTATATTTACTAGTATAGATGTCAATGCCCTGTTTTCTAACCGATTTAATTTATTTCTGCTTTTTTTTAAATTGTTAAACCTTAAAAAGTTTAACGTGCAAATCATTCGAAAATAAAAACAGATTTAAGTAAATATTTACTATTTTACAGCCAATAATAAGTAGGAATACGACTCTTAAAACTTTTTTAATTTTAGAAAACAAGAGCATTTAATAGAGGCTCTCTAAACATGACAACTAAATTTGTAAATCGTAAGAATAAAGTTTCATAAGACATAGAATATTGGAAACTTTGGAGTTTTTAACAAAATATTTCGGTGCAATAAAAGACAAACATAGATTTTCACATTTGTTATTTGCTTTTATATTTATTTATAAGTAGATGTCACACTTTTTCTCATTATTTTTTTAACCAAAATTTTGTTTATTTCAATAAAGCCATATTTTCTTAATGTTTTAAACTTATTTTTAGTAATATCAATATCATTGAAATAAAAATTAAAGCTAACAAGCCTTTAAAACTCATACTAGACAAAACTAACACAAAAAAACTTTAAAAGTAGATATTATACAAAATTACATTTCTTGGTTAAAGAACTAATGTACTCTAAAACAAAAACTTCAAAAGTATCTTGATAAAAGATCTTTTCAAGTCCTCAGCAAAAGGACATACTTAGTTTTAAGCGTCTTACAAAGCAAAACCGAAGCAGTTTAAAATTTTTCAATATTTACTCGGGAAAAGTTTAATCAATTTATCTCAATAAAGAGACAAAAAACATGAGCTCACTGTTTTTGACATCACTCGATATACCCGATATTCCCGAAGTAGCTCTTAATTTTTGAAGTTGACAGCAGCCGTTCAGTGGATATCCCTATTTCTAGATTTAAAAATACGACCAGTTTTTAATTAAACTCAATATTCTATAACAATGAGAACAAAATAATAATTTTTATCAATTCCTACCGAAATAAAATCAACATGTTAAGTTCTATGGATCGCATAATAGTATATTTTTAGTATCACTTTCTTCTTACACGTTTCAGAGTATTGAACATTTTCAATAAAAAAATCAATTTATTCCGACTTTGAATGTTTTGTATGTACGAACAAACTTTCAATAATACGAGAGGAAAATTCCATGAATGAAATGTTTTACTTTTCTTACAGATTTTTTTTCAAAAGCCACCAAATACTTATTTAAACAATTTATCGAAAATGCCACACCTTACAATATTATTTTTTCATATCCTTCCTTTCAAATGAAAAATTTCAACTCTGAATATTACATCTGAGTATGACATTCAGTTAATGAAAAAAACAAAATAAGTTTAATGAACAAGAAAGTAAACTAAATGAATATAATGGCAACCCTGAATAGATATCCCCAATCGAGAATAGTCACATTATGGCAATAAAACGGAAATTGTGTAATTTCCTTTCCCCTAACTTTTATTTTTAGACTAGAGAACCATTTACGGACTTTCTAACGATCTATAAAATGAAATATGTATTTCACTTAGACCTCAAATACTATTTTGCACGAGGTAAACTAATACATACTCCTTATTCAACAATTGATTCCGTAAAATACAATTTAGTCATAAAAAATAAATACCTCTGTATAAGCTTGGCACATCGATTCGTATAAATTTTGATGTTGGTGAATAGAATTTTCTAGCATCATTATTTCCGAAGGAATATTAACATTTTCACAGGCAGATTTCCAATTAGGCACGTTATCCACATATTGTTCAGCTTTATGATGAAAAATCACTGATAACGCTAACACTGCTGTCCTTTCATCTAACCCTGCAGCAAAATCCTTCCATGTTCTATCCAGCCTGCTTGCTACAGACCTAATATGCGTGGCGGCATAGTGCCCGCCCTCGATTAACCGACTAGCCACAGAAAGTATTCTATTAATATTAACATATACATTCATCGAACTCATTGTAAAATGTTGGTGTTCTTCTTGTAATTGCTTAGCTAACTGGTAAGTATGGCCGATTTCTACGTAGTTTAAAAGGAACACATCGCGGTTGTGGCAGATCCAGTCAAACATCTGCAACAAAATATTTACCAATCAGAAATACCTATACCCAAACTACTCACTTTCTCGCAGTCCTGTTCAAACAACCTCAACTGAAAACACTGATCTAATTTTAATTTCTTTTGATGCCAGAGCTGAAGTAGATGTTGCTGCGATGTGTGGACCGCCTCCAAATTTTGCAGAACTAGATTTTTTATATCAGTCGTATCTGAGTTAGCACTATTTGGAGATTCGGGCTCTCTGACACCACCGCCGCCTCCTCCGCCACCGCCACCGCCTCCTCCACCGCCGCCGCCTCCCTGACCCGTATCACCACATATTTTCTGAAGCAAACGCTGACCTAAAGACATTAAAACGTAATAATTAGAAAAATCCTCCTAATTGGCGAGTGCTAAGTGTACATTTTTAACTTCCGTTTACCATCACTTTAAAAGATTATTTTTGTAATTATGATTACTTTACAAGCTGGTTTCGGTTTCACCTGACCTGTTATTTCTTAATTTTTATGAGACAATAATAAGTTGTGTGTATACAGCGTATTTCACGTGAGAAACCGGCAATTTACGAACTAATTAACTTTACAGTTAGCAGGCAGTAGCCACCGACTCATTCACTGTTACAAAATATTTCAGTGTCAATTTTTAACAAGAAAAATCATAAAATTTTAAATTATAAATAATATGGTGTAAGAAATTAGAAAATAATTCCATAACTGACACACTACAAAACCATTTACGAAATTGTATCAACTTTTACACAAATATTATTTTTAATCATTATTTGTGTAATTAAATTTAGTGCCAATCCATCTTTGTCTTAGGGTCATTATGGCTAATGTTATGACTTCGATATTAAGTCTGTTTTAATATTTAATCCAATTTTTATTAATTAAAACATAAAAATATTCCAAAATTAAATGTGCAAGATGCTTTTAATAGTTGCACAGACATTTTAACCAAAATTTAAGTATGATTAATGAAATTACCGAAGCTTAACGTCTTACTAATTTTGATAAACCGATAAAAAAGTTTGTTTTCATTAGAACAAAACTAATTAATACGTTGTGGATAAAATAATCTGCTAAAACTAATTATGGTAAGTAAATTGGTTATTACATCAATTCGAACAAAATTTTAACTTCTCTTGGAAATGGCGTTGCAAATCTGAAAAAAATAAAACTAAAATTGTAAGGTAAAAAAGTGGTGACAATTTTCTCTCAACTCCAGAGTCTCGAAAATCTCGTACTGCTTATTAAAACAGCCAGTGGTGTAATTAGTTATTAAATATTCTCCAAATTTAATTTATCGACACAAAAACTTCGAATATTATGAAACTTAAATTGCAAGACTCCAAACTCCAATACATTATACTTTTTTAATACGCCGAAAAACTTCTAACTTCCAAACATGAAGTAGTTACTTACTTTGACAAGACGGTATGTAAATCTGAAATTTCTTCAAGTTTTAATTTTATTTATACCTTAATATAGCCCCTCTGATAATTATGTAAAGCAGTACACATAACTTCAGACGAGGAATTAACATAATCCTGTATTTTCTTCGTATTTTAAAAATTAAAAAATCGTACCTAACACATCAATATCCTCCACCGGAGCTTTCATAATTTTTTTCTTCATCTCATTGTGAAGATCGATTTTGTGTTTGGCTCCACTCACATCGTCGGCGAAATCATTTCGTGCGAGATCTTCTTGTAAGTCATCTAAACGGTCCAAGAGGTCGGCGGCTTGCCACGCAAATTCTTCCACGGCGAGTCTAATTTCTAACCACGTTGAATGATCATAACTTAGCGTACCATCTAGATCTGCCGTTAACTGCGAAGTGTCTATTATTTTGGACAAGGCCTCTATACTTATCATATTTGTCTGAAAATAACACAAATTATTAGTTGCTCAGGCTTACTCAAAAACTATCATGTCCTGTTTAAAAACAAAATATTTTACTTGTGTGAAATTAAAGCGTATTAAAAATACAAATAGGCTTATTTTTGTATAAAAATTATTTATTCAAGTGGTGCAAGCAGCCAAATTTTGTTACCGTCATACTTTGTTGTCTTTACTTTAGAGAATATAAAAAAAGCCACTATGTTGCTCTACAACAATTTTGTGCTTGATTGACGCTGACGTTAAGTTAAACTCAACATTGATCCTCTAACACGATCTGCTTCTCCTTTATTTAATTTTTAAACTCGACTTGACATTTTAACCGCTTGAACAAAACCGATAAGTTAAAAAATACTCCTGAAAGCACAACTAACTTGAAACACCAATTTAATTGTCACGATCTAGTTATTAAACATATTTAACACTGAATAATGTCAGTATTTACACAATGATACGTTATATTTTGCATCGCCAATTTGAAATTATTAACGGTTAATCTTCTGCTAGTAAAAACCTATAATAATTACTCTAAACATAAACTCATACACACCTCAAATTTGTACTTATGGGAACCAAGTGAGGTCCGTTGCTTCTGCCAGAAATTATCCGGTTTGACAATGAGTGCCTGGTGAACGACTCCAGGTGGAAAATGCTCATGTAACGCTTTTAAAATAGGCTTGACTGTAGACCAAGTGGCTCCTCGCATATCGACCAACACTGTAAAACCTAAAGCCCTCGCTTCATCACTGTAACAATTTTTACAAATTAGGGATTATTTACAAACAAAATACGCAAAATGGTCATTTGAATGGTTTTAATTCCGTTAACGACATTGTACAATGAAAGGATAATTTGTATGTTTTCGAGAAATTTATTAACCAATTTGTATGATTATATGACATTGTTTCACTTATCCCAGTATGCTATTCAAAGCCTTTTATAGCATCGAGAACGTAATAACTTTTACTCACGTTGAAGAACACCATTGTATTTAACACGACATTGATGTCAGTAGCTATCCGGAAATGTTATTATTCCTACCAGACTTGAATATTGATGCCTTAACAATAACTATCGTTTGTTAAAAATTACATTCATTAAAAGCTTGTTTTGTTATTCTACAGCGTTTGGTTTAATTTTTGAGAGTTTTGGCACGTAGACGGATTTAAATAGGGTGTGGTGGTATTATATCCTAATTGCCTCAGCGACGTTTTAATCTATTTTCTCTAAAAATTGAAAACCGACATCACATCAAACCAAATTAAAAAAAAAATAATAAAAACGAAAACAGTTAAATAATACAATGTTCGAAATATTTTTACTTTTGCTCGAGAAAAAATGTCACAAACACTTTTAGAATTTTAATTAAGAAAGATTATTAATTAATGAACAAGAGTACGCACTTTGGGAATCAAACAAGGTCGTATTTTTGAGTTTTCGCTATTTTCTTTCTTTTATTGTGTAATAAAATTAAATCACACTTAATTTTATCAATCCAGTCAGTCATTTTTGATCCGCAGGGAAAAAAGTGAATAAAATTTAACAACCTATAGACCCAGCTTAAATGTCGGTGAATAATTTTCCTTAATGCCCCTTGATATTTATTAAAATGCGTTAGGAAATACCTGCCAAAGAGCGAAAAACGTGAGATGTCATACAAATTCGTTACTATTTATGAACTTATCTGAGAAAATGACAAAAATTCAAAACAACTCGGTGGTTGAAAGTTCATGTCTAGACGATGATAAAAATTTTCCTTTTACTTTCAGGAGATGAGTCGTCTGTCTACAGTACCATTCAAAATTCTACGAGAGTATGTTAAATAAATCAATAAAAAATTGAATTATCATTTATAATTTCGTTATTTGATGGAAATTTAAAGATCCAAGTTGTGACAACGTTGCAAAATAATAATTCAACGTTTCTCCACACGAAAAAAGGATAACTTGACAAAATTGGCTGCCTCGTTTTGTTTCCGCTATAATTAATACCTATATATAAAATCTAGCACTGCTAATTAGAGAATATGTAAAATTTAGTCTCAATTTCGCATTTATTAAAATCTGATGCAAATTTTATTGTAAGTATTAAAAAAATTTTAATGTCCCAATTCATGCAAAATTTAATTAAACTGAATTGAAATTCAGGCTGTGGTATGTAAAATGTCGTAACCCAAAATCCTAAAATGAAACGAATTAAATTCATACTTAATAACCGCCAAAGTTTGCCCAAAAAGGAGCAGTTATACGTGAACTAATTGAAAAAGCAAACCATTTCCATTGACGTCACTTTGTCAAATAGCACTTCCCTTTTTGTAACAAAATATTCGTTAAAATACATTTTATTGTCCGTGAAATAATTTCTACACTAGTCAGTGAATAAACAGAAGGTACGGAAACAATGTGTTGTTAATAATTACCATATTTCATTACGTTGTGCTAAAATACAACAAAATAAATTTGCGCAGATATATAACTAAATAGGTACATGTATGTACTGTCGAAGGCAAATTTAGAATTTCGAAACCGTTTTTAACAACAGAGGATAGCAAAAATTTACCCTGAACGTGGGTATTTAATGTATAAATATTTTACAATATTCGCTGCAGGTGCTCCTGTAATAACATACAAAGATTTCTGATAGCTTTATTATGAAATAATCCTCACATAGCTGGTACACCTACACGCAACATATGGTTCTATCAACATTAAAAATTTTACTGTTCATTTTATAGGAAATATTATTCGCGTAATAATAATTAATGGAAAACAAATTACAAAGTTACCCAACAACGATAACGCAGATTAACCTAAGCTCTTAATTAAGCACCGGCTGTGATTAACTAACCGAACAATTGCCGGTAGCATCAAGATGTCACATAGAAATAGAAGCTTTGATTTATGCCTCGTACTAAATGACTTTTAACCACTGTAACAGACAATGTGATGAATATAGTATACGTTTCAGGAAAAACACATTTAGAGATAGATAGTAAATGGTTAGTGAAGTAAAATTTTAACGAAAACGCTTTGTGAGCAGCCAATGCGGTAGCTTCTAAAGAAAAATTCACCGACATGAAATATTCCAGAGTAATTCATGTTTTTTTTTCGATACGGCACATGTTGCAGATTGCATTGTTTCAAATGAAAAAGCTGCTGCAACATCTGAAAAAACAGTATATGCACAAGCCATCGCTTCTTCAGCAAGTTGTGGATTTCCGCAACTTGTTTGTATTGTTGCCAAGCCATCAGACTTTTAAATTACGCAAGCTGCAAACTTGTGATATTGCAGATATACGTATAAATCCAGGAATTCAAAGAAACACTATTACGGTTTCGTATTACTTTCAAGTGGAACATTTTTACGAAAAATGAGTGAAAGATAAAATTTTCTCCACGGGGGAAATGAAACGTTTGGGAAAGAATAAGATCATAATTATATTTTAATTAAATATCACCAAATTTTTCGCCTTGAAAACTTTATGAGTAAAGTTTTCTTAAAATAAATTCTAAATGTAACATTAAAAGCTATCAAATTGATACTATCCTACAATATTTCGTATCCACGCTATTTACATCCAAAAAATTAAGTTTCAACCAGATATTAACTTTGCGATGGAAATATTACAAAATAAAAAGCAGTGCAGTTATTTCATTTAAAATGGTCCAACACCTGTCATGGCCCTGCTTTGCATACAATGCAAAGGTTGCATGCAAATAAAAATTCCATCCCAAAGTTACGTAACTTTCGAAGTAAAAGACGAGAAAGTGTATGAAGCATAACCAAAACAATTGGACAGTAAAAGTTGATTGTAATCAAAATAACATAATGGTTTAAGGAGGAACTAAATAAAGTAGGCTTATTTTGTGCACCGTCAACTGTAAAATCGACAAAATATATAGGCTTTCCGGTTAATGAGCAATCGTATAATTCGTAATGTGTATTATTTTTCCACCTCTTATTAAATTAAAAAATTGAGAAGATAAGCAAAAAAGCTTTCTTTATTAATGAACCCACCTATTTTGTAATCGGTGTCTGTATCTTCTGGAAGAACTCAGAAATTCTTTTTTGACCTACACACAAAGCACTTAATAGTTTTCGCCCATTTAGCTATCAATCATTTTATAGGTGGGTGTAGAGAATAAAATATTAAGAGCAAACCGAGATTGTTTTTAACAGACGAAATCAATACACAATTAGTCCATAGCCGTCGTAAAGAACCATTTGTTGTAGATCAATAAAATATTCAAGCGACGTGCGTGACCAATGTACCATAGTTGCAAAAATAAACTTCAACTCAGCCAACATTATTAATTATTGCAACAATTTCTGTCAAATTCGCAACTTGGTTTCACAAATATTAATGGTAACAATACGTGCACGACGACCAGAAATGCATACTTTGAAGGTTTTTGTGTTATATCCATAGACGAGCGGAACTTGTTACACATCGTCATTTTTCCACTTAGATTTTTACTCTGGACGAAAAAAGTAAAAACAAACGTGTATTCAATTTCAACTAAACGAGTGTACTTTCTTTCACCACTAATGTACGCGACGTGAACAGTTTACACAAAAGTAATGTTTTTTATCTTTGGTGTCTTTGGCACTTTCCAACACTGAAACAAGAAAAACTTGTAAGGTCGAAGGTCTTTACACATACAAGAAGCGCTTCTACAATGTTGCCAATAAAATCAGTCAATACACTTGTGTACGCAGTGAGATCTGAAAATTTTATTACTTAAGTGCAGTGTTAATTCATTAAAAGTAGAAGCTAAAAGATTTTTTTCCCTTGTGTATAGTGTGATAGGAATATTCATCGACTTCAAAAAAGTATGAATTATGATAAATCTGCAGGCAAACACTTGAAAAAATTTGCTACAGGAGAGGTTTTTCTAATTATAGTACTAGAAAAATTGCTTTCGAATCCTCCTATTAAACATTAATTTAATTAAATCAATTATTTTAATTAAAAAGGCTTGAATTTAAAGAAAAGTCTATGTGATATTATCACCAGTTTATTAAATAAAACAATACTTTTTTTTAAAGGTCGACAAATTGATTTTCTAATATTAGAATATTTCCTCTTCAATTTTACCAGAAAAAGGAAAGGAAGTGTTCTTAGGCAATTGTTGCTCTAAAAATTCAAATGTTATTAAATCTGTGTTTTTTTCTTCCATTAGAAATCATAAGATCATTGGCGATAAAAGAAAAATAATTATACTTTATTCTGTGCAACAAAAAAAAAAAGAAAAGACAGATTTCGAACAATTCGCATAATTTGGCGCTGCTGTTTGCAGTCTTTTTATATAAGAATTTTTGTGTAATTTAATTATATTTTCTGCAAATTACTTTTGAGAGAAGCGTTAGAAGCTTTTTTAACTTAACAAGTTTTGGTAAATAAATTTTTATTTAGGCTTGGACTAAAATAAATGACTAAAATGTGTACTCAAGTTATCGATTTCCACTCGTTCACTGGATTCGCAATCTTAAAACGTTTATCTAAATTGTACACTTTCCACGTAATTTCTTTTAATTCTGTTGTAAAATCACGTACATGTGTGTGAGTTATTTTAAATATGGCTGCCATATGCGCAATATTCTAAGTAAATTTAATAACACTCCCCTGACTCGATATTAATGTTACAATAAATAAACATTTCTCCTTATAAAAACGCTGCTTTTTTGCGTGAGAAAACATCATTTTAGTAAATAATTTAATCACCATTTTATAGAACGTTAAGTGGAAACAGACCGTATTACAATGTCCGTTATTTATTCGCAAATAGCTTAGAAAGTGTAACAGGATTTGTTACACTAGATCTAATTCAACAATGGCAGAAAATACGAATTTGCGACAAAAATTTAAATTTCCATTGACAAAAATATTTCCACGTTAGTTTCTTAGAAGCCACTAACAGGAAACCATCAAGAATGACCATTCTGCGTTCTCAGATGAAATATACAGCCATTGAAATTACTGAAGCGAAAGAAACTGAATGGGTGGGTAATGCTATAACTCGCGATTTTACATAATAGCATTATCAATTTACTTGAAGATGAAGAAAAAAATACTTGCTTGGGAATGGACATAAGATATTGCAAAAGGCGTTTATAATCCTCCGGTTTAGCACGTTCTCTGCGAGGACTGGCAGGAAATGATAACACGGGTCCTCCACGCCTGTCACGGCCACCGGTCAAAATCACAAGCCGTTCTTGCAATAGAGGCATCAGTTCCAAAGCACGTTGTCCATCCATGTTTTGAGCTGAAAAAGAAAGATAAAATTAGGTGTGTTTCACGTCACGAAAAGACTTCATTAATCGATTGATCAAGCACTCTTAACTACTTAACAGGTTTAATAACCCTCACACCTCGCTTCACACCGTTTAAACCGATCGATGTCAAATGTGAATAAACACCCCACTGATTAAATTGCTTATGAAAAATATGACCTAATTTAACTTGACTAAAAATGTCAAAGGTGAGCAAACCGACGAGTCTAGATCTCTCAGGCCTAAAAAATGGAAAATCTGTATTTATTTTCTGATTAGTCTAAATTATCAAAATCAATATTTAACTTAGGATACGGGCTTTTACAGCAATATTAACGAACCTTTGTCACTTCATTTACCCCTAAATGTTCTGTATAAAAATAAAAGTGAGACGCAATTTCAACCAGAAAATTGATCAATACCGACCAAAAATGAAACATGGTTATTTTTCAAATAATACAAAGATACTAAATTATGAATGCACCACTGAAAAAAATTCATTTCATTTATGTCATGTCCCACGGTTTGAATATGATTATAATATTCAGTAGATTTCAGGAGCATTATGTTTTATTCTGTGTCATAAAGATACAGAGATTTACGTCTTTAATTCTCCTTTCTTCATAAAGGTCACAATCTTTAGGGAGAAAAGAGGAAATGCAAATGTAAAGCAAGCTAAAAATTATTATCTTCACCAAGATCGAACACTTAAGCACAAGTGAATGTAACATGTGGGTTGAATAGAAAATAAGGAAGGTTTTGTTTTGCGACAGATGTTAAACACTTAAAACGACCTTGGAACTTTTAAGACTCACGATCGCGATGTTAATTAAAGGAGTTCTTAATTGGAGAATTTTTAATTAAGGGATGAAAGATATTTCATTCGGCGGATTACTGGATTTAATAATAATTACAAATAAATTTTTCAAAGGTGGTGAATTAATTCTCGTTAGATTTAAGTAATATTTTAATAATTCACAAACGATTTTGTGTTTGTGTACAGTAAATGCTCGCTGAGTAAATAAAATTATTTCGCAACTCTTGTGATTTTTTTTTGCCCTTTTTATCTACAAGCTACATAATGAACAGAATAAAACTTAGCTCTGGGAAAATTATCGCATTCGGTTTTGCATCTGCATTCACGGTCAATAAAATATTCAGCTATAAATACGAGTCACATCACTCCACATTCAAATATTACATAATAAAAATGAAAGTCGAGATTCACTTAAAAGCTGAATACAGAAAAATTCAATTAATTACCATCCGTTCATTTCATTCTCATTCCAAACGCAAATTGTTTTCCACCAAATTAAAAAACTTATTTTCATTTTGTCCATTATTGCTTTTTGATTTCTCTCACATCTTAAACTTGAAACAAATAAAGCGGATTAGATGTTCGACGTCAGATTACTTGTGGTAAAACTTAAGAGCAAACACGATTTTCAGAGTAATGAAACTGCAAATTAAGGGAGTTTAATAAACTAATTTGTTTAAGCTCAATTAAATGTTTCGCCTTCTATAACAAGATTAGAAAACATCATCTACGCCCCAAAAATAGGTTGTCAACGCTTCCCAATTTCAGTTCTGTGTATATTCATAATAAATCATTCCAGCTGACGTTTATGCTAAAAATAATATGCACATATTGCGTAAAAAGGTGCATTTTCTAAAATTAAGGACACTATTATTAAAAAATGCAGCAGGTTGAAATAAATCTGTCAGCAACGTATAGCTTGTTTTTCTCTTGTGATAGCTGTTAAATTATTTTTTATTATAATAAGCTTTTCCTTTTGAACTTTCTCGCAAGTTGTTCATAAATAAAATGAAAGAAATTGCTCTTAAATTCATCTGTGTTCTGGTAAAAGCTACCAAACAAGAATAAAATGTTTTAATAGTAACAAAGTTTGACATATTCCCCCAAACCATGATACAATACTTCGTGTGAAAAATCTATCACAGAAAGTTTTCATTGTTTGCAGTTCGATTGTTCAATATTTTGAATAGAATTTGGTAAAATACTCAATATATCTATCCTGATGTGGTCATTAAAAATTCGACCCAGTCAATCTCACATTTAATGTTATTATAAAATAAAAACTATACATCTGAACAAAATTTAAAGACAATCAACAAAAATTAAAATTTCCTTATTCAACGTTTGTTTCCGCTAGACGCCATAGTTAAATTGATTACATTTTTTTCTTTAAAATCTATCAAACACCAATCTGAAAGTAAGTCAGCATTCTAGGCCGTATAATTGTTTATTATATTTATCATAAAAATAGAAGTGCAGAAATATTTACTAAACATTCTGTTCCCCCAGTTTTAACAGTTTGTTTCTTTCGTAAATGCATTCCTTAACAAAACATTCACATTTGTGTATTTTATTTCCATGTCTTCGAATTTTCATTGTGCTGTGTTTTTGTTGGAAAGCAGTTAACACGACAGTAAAGTAAACTATTAATTTGAACAGATTTACAAAAAGAAACCAATAAATTACCAACAGGACGTCTTGTTCGGTGCACTGTATTGGGTGACCCAATGGAACTATGCCAACTGTGAGGGCGACGTCTGGGTCCTGCTGAAGTTTCAGCCTTCGTCCTGAAGGCAGAAGCTGTTCTACTTGAACTAGCCATGGATCACCGATAATTACGGAGGATTCATTAAAAATTGCGATGATCTCACTGGACTTCCAAATTAAGATGCAAAATATCAACAATATCAAATTTAACAACCGTCATGATTAGCAAACTCGTGCATTTATTTTTGCAAAAGTTTTTCGGAATACCGTCTGTTATTCACACATTGCAGTAAAAACACACAGTTCTTGGTAACATTTATCCGAATGAAATAACAAATAATCAGTTTATAATTTTACTCATGGAATAACAAGCAAAAATTGATAATTTAAGTGGGCAGTAAAAATGAAGAATTAGCAGTACGCTATTAAACGCCGGTAGCATAAAAAACAATTTCCTCTCAATAATTGTTCTAGAATTAGAATATGATGAAAACTTTTCTGATCACAGTAATTCCATAAAATCACGAGTGAATATTAAAAAGCAATTTTATTTCAATTATTTTTGACATTTCCCTGTCTGAAATCTCGATTTAAATAAAAACAAATTATCCACTTAAGAGCTACTGATCGGAATGCAATAAAGCTGTTAAACTTGGGTTAGCTTTCAAGCGTCAAATTTGTAGAAACTCGCAACTTCGGTAGGCACGTGTTCGGGATTTTGAAGAAAACGAACACCGAGACGGCTTTCCTTGTCTGAAGTTACCCTGGAATGCTATATCAAAGAATACAGCAGAAATGCGGAATCGATACTCCCATTCGCATCTAACACTTCCACTGGGCACTATTCTTTGTTCAACTTCCAAGTTCAGGGATTCAAGTTAAACAGATTACCAAAATGATGAGTTTTCATAACGGTTATTTACGCCGCCAAATATAATGTGAGCTTCAACACGCAATTTAAAAATTTACTTATAGAGAAAACTGAAACCTAAAATTTGCTTTTCGAAAAAAAAAAAACAAATAAGCAAGTGTCCCATATCAAAAATTGTTGACAGCACCTTAAAATCAATAACTGCAAAAAATTCTTCTTCTAAAAATAAGAACCGGAAATTGCATTCATTGCAATGCAAGCTTCATTTTAATTTTTATGACATTATGAACTGCGACTCTGTACTTAATATCGACCTAGTTTTTGACAAAAGATTAAATGTTCTCATTACCTTAATTGCAAGCTAAAGTAATTATTAATGCTTTAAGCACCAGAAGTGATCAGTCATGAAAAACGAAAACATAAAGTTTTCATCATAAAATAATTAATAAATTAATATAAAATTGTTAAGGGTTAATGTTTCTTCTGAAACACTGGAAAATATTTTACATACCAAAAAAGACTTCAGTTAAATTTAAATTTCCATCTCACAGTTTTTCTCATATAATTATGCATTTCATAAAAATGCAAATTCTGATTTTTATATGTAACATGTTTTCAAAAATAACCATTAATATTTCACAAACTTCTCAATAAATTTGTTTAAGAATTAACATTTTTCTGTGCACAAAAACTTCCTTTGCATTTAGAAAGGATAAAGTAACGTAACAAAGAAACTGCTAGGAGTAACCACGTGTGACACTTCAGTTGCACATATTAACATTATTATTCTGCAAAAATGTGCGAAAATATTTTACAAAATAACAAATTCGGAATTAAATAAAAGATAAATTTATTAGATGTAGGATAAAAATATTTCACATTTCGCGATTACAAACGGTTGTAATCGTTTTCCGGCAGATCCGCACTTTGGACAAAAAGGAACTGCTGCGTCGTGACGCCTGTCGTCTTCACTATCGGAATTTGTGAAGCGCAGTCGCATTGCACACCGGAAAGGGAAATACCTCCTTAATGAACATATGCGACGTATCTTACTATAAGTACTTTTAATTAAAATCTTATTTCTATTCTAACCGGAATAATGGCATCGATTGGCAGCTTGTCGAAACTCAATAATAACATTGAAAAGAAGAGACAGCTTCACAATACATGTCATGTCTTCCTGTCTGATATAGACCGACTTTTTCAAATCAGATAGAAAAATTAATTCTACAAAAAAAAACTTTCTTTGTTTGATTTATGAGAGTGTTTTGAAGCTATTATAGTTTTAATTAAAAATAGAGTGTTTCTTACCTACATTTTCAAACGTCAATAAGTGATAACGATTGGAAGGAAGTCTGAATGCTACTAAAAACTGTAATTATCGTAGCAATTGTATTTCCAAAGTCGCATCTGTTATAAAGTCAATTTATTAGCTCAACTCAATCACGAAAGAAAAAGAAAAGCTCTCGGCAATTTGATCAAGAAGATACTAAAAGCTCTAATTTACAAACAGTATCAGTAAGATAGCCTGATTCAATGTCTTATTCTTTGTTAAATATGATTGAATACATCTCTCGAGACACGAAAAAAGGATAATTCTACTTTTACTTTTTGTAAAATCTGGCAATTCAAATCAAGGAAATATTGTCGTTCAACTACATTTACAAGTAAACAAATAAATCAAATTTAGACGCTTGTTTCGATATTTGTATATATTTTTAACTCCTGTTAAAAATTTAATATTTACTATTCTAATGAAACAGTACCCTTGAAAAGATAACTGTAGCACTGTTTACATATAAATCAAATAAAATTGCGTATCGATGCTGCAACGAAACATAAAATAAGAAAACTAGGATGTTAAGGTTTGTAAAGTTTGTAAATGTATGTACATACACTGCAATTGGGGTTGCTGTTTGAGAAAGTGTAAGTAGATTTTGAAAGCTTGTTTACAATAATCTCGGTAAAAACAAATTTAACTTGACGAATCTAGATTAAAAGTTACGATGTTTGCTATAATCAGAAACAATTAAAAATCAGAAAACAGAAATCGCTTTTATTTACGTATAAACCATTCTAATATTTCACTTCTAATATTTTTACCATGTTTCCAAGATTGCATGTTCTTTGTCATTGTGATAGAACCTTTGTTTATGTTCTTGAGATGGCTGCAAGCCAAAAATAATAACTCAAGTCCCAAAGGATTCAGACAATGCAAAAATAAACTTAAGATATCGGCAGAAGTGGTAGCCTTGCTAAGGACTAAACTTAATTGGACGCCTTTGTAAGTGTTTCATTGAATTATGTGAAAGTAGGGAAATGCTACAAAAGCTTGAAGCTTCGTCGTTATTGCTCTTAATTAGGTCAGCACTACACTAGATGAAAGAGAATATTCCAAAGAACGCTATCAATATTCTGAATGAGACGTAAAGAGAAAAAAAGGAGTATGATTTCAATAATGTAATGACATTTGAGTCACATAACAGAAAAACCAATATATCACGCCTGTTCTTATGTGTTTCATTATTAAATTTTGTCACATTCAAAGTAGACTATTTTTTTCTAAGAAAACCCCATGTGCATTTTATCACGTTTCATACTCACGAGTCTTTTCTCTTGTTCCATTCCACCTAATTTTGAAGAATGAATCACAGACTGGGAACAGACAAATTATGTTATCAGTCAAGTTCTTTGAAACCCGCGATTTGTCAAAAAGGAAATAATTTGGAACATCTGCTCGTCGACTCTATGAGGTAATTATCCTTTTACAATACCTAAATATCTTTTAGCACGATCTAAGAATAATCCATAATCTGTTGAATGTACCCAATATCACTGGATTTTCAACAACACATTCGAGACAATAGATGAACAAAATGCAGATCATTTGCAATAGATTTATTGAACTTACTGTCAACAGTATTATAATCACGCAAAAAGGTGTTGGTTGAGTGACTCTGTCCATTGTGGTGTTACCAATTTGTCATCACAAAAACGAGAATTATTGCTTTGGTGTTGCCACCTTTTTGAGTTTATCAGGTAAAACAAAACACGAATCAAAATCAGTAATTAGCATGTTAATAAGTAAAGTAACAGTAAAAAAGTGCTAAATATTGTAAATCGTTTTTGCTTAGTGAAATAATTAATAACGTCACAAAAAATTAAAGCATGAAAGATTGGATTCACTATCACTTTGCATATGCAAATCCAGACATGTAACTACAAAATACGCTGATGTCAGAGAATCTCTAAAGGAAATTGTGTTCATAGTTTGTTATTGCACATCACAGAGTCCCGTCTGAACATAAAGCTTTATCATAAAGCACCCATACTGATAAGCTCTGAAGTTAACCGATTCCCTCATCTATTAAAATCGATCTTTTAATAAAACTTATGATTAAAAGGCTGTGGTCAGAATAACTTGGAGGCATAAAGCCTTAAACTGATTATTTTGCACATCTGTAATAACCTTTAGGTTAACCCTAGAGTAAGTTAAACAACGGTCAACACACAATGTGTGACAGTTTGCAAGTTTTGGCTATTTATGAAAAGTGGGAATAAACCGAGGACAGTAGTTATGCTAATAGGCAAGGGTAGTTTTATTTATTACACAAAATTAGAACAGAATTTGATTTAATAAAATGTTTTAGGACTTTAACAAATGAGAAACGAACAAAAAGGTGAATAAACTCATCATTGTTTTTACATAATTTGTTCGCGTTCCATTTTTTAATCCATTTATTATGATGAAAGTAAATGAGGTGCAGCTTTTACTGGTTGATTTTAACGAGCTTATTTTCCACAAAGTATGATATTATTTAAGTCTCATTTATGTGAATGTAGCAAGTTAAACTTACAACAGGACCATTTCAACAAGTAAATTCAATTAAAATTAATTAACAACGTTGTAACTGTCGCTTGTACGAACACAAGTAATAAAACGAATCAAATTAATATTGCCAAACATCGATCGCAAACTAATGACCAAATCAACAGCAAGCTTATGCAGCAGGTGATGGGAGAGGAGAACTTCGTGAAAGGGTTGCTGAAAGGTCAATGAACAGACAAGGGTGGCAGATTTTCAATTACAAGTTCATCACTATTTAATGTAACTTCAAGGAAACTACATGCCAAACAATTACATTAATTGTCGAGTGCTTAACAGAAACGGCCATAACTACGAGGTGGCTATTACAGACAAACAATAAAAATGATTATTGGCACATCGAGCATACCAACAATAAGTTAGTGCCAATTCTGGGAAAGTTTCTCACGGCGAGTATGCGAATGGGTGTTGAATGATAAAGATGGCCATTGTAAATCGGCATTTCTTTATTCATAAATTATAGCTTTGTGTCTTTACTTGACTTTTAATCTTTAATTAATTTAAAAATTACTTTTTTGCACATGAATGACCGCGGAAAAATTTGCACCTCTGGAAAAACTAGAAATATGTGTGTAAGGTAACGGAAGCAAAGCATGAAGTTTGAATTTTTGAAGTCTTGAAAACTATAAATAAAAAAGAATGAAATGAATACACAATTCTCACCCTACATATTTGAACATAACAGTTAATTTAAAGTATTTCTTAAAAAAAAGAATTATGAAAGTACAACTGAACGAAACACAAATAACTTCTTATTTTGCATTTCCACTGATTGTTTCTTCGGACACCAATCTCAAACAAATTTTGGAATAAAGCACTGGAAGCCCAAAAAACTCACCTGACAGCAGCTTATACATATAGAAAGTTTTACAATGAATTATTTTTCGTCTTTTCTTTTATGTAGTCTCAAATAATCAACATTTGCAAATCTTATATTATTATTTTTTATGGTATTTGTTATAACAGTCTGTTAAGTTCATCCTATACGTTCAACTGTCACTGTTATTATCAAAGTTATTACTTTCACTTTTACTGCTTTTCATGATCATGATATGCATGGTACTGGTTATTATAAGCTATAGTGCACGATGTTGAAGTCGATATATCAAAATTATTCAAATTTTATTCATAATTCTACATCAGTGTTGATATTTCCCATTTATAGATTTATGTTCCGCGTTGATATTTAGGTAAACATCACCCATGTTTATAAACACCACTGGATAGCAAAGTATCCGAATGCCTATGTTTAGTACTAGGAAGTAAGTACTTTGTAGAAATATTTAATACACCAAATCTTATTTTTTCATGAGTCTGTTTACAAATTTCATAAATAAATTGAGTAGAAGTGATTGCTATTATATGTGCTGCTACCAGAGCACAATTTGCTTTTGACATAAGTAAACTTGTATTATATTAAAAAATGTCCTCATTTTAATGGTAGATACTGTCATCTGCAGGTTTTTGGTTGCTTTTGCCGCTTTCTTTTATCTGTATTATATGCTGAAAATAAAAATGTGGAAAACCTCTTGGCATTTTATTAATAGCTTTCAGGGGAAACAGACGACTTTACTTTCTTTCGAAACAAATATTGGAAAAAATAAAACCAATGAGAACTTCACTCCTTCATAAAAATCTGTAGAAATAAAGTGTGAGAAATGTTGGGGAAAATAGAATATGATTAATACAAATTCTTTCAAGAATTTCCTGGCCACATTCCTTGTTCGCGGCAGTAGGCAGGTATATTCAAAGAATGTTTATTATTTCCATCGCTCGTGTCTAATCACTATTTTATTATAATAATCCTTATAATGATAATGTCAACCATTGTGGTTAACTTATCATAATAGAATAGGAATATTGTTTGCTGTTAATAGCATTTTAATGTGAGTGTTTGTTTAAACAGCATTGACAGGGCAACTGAACTCTTCCAAGATAACTGTAACATGTATATAAATAAAAGAAAAGACTCCTGAGAAATAAAGCAAGAATTTAAAAATAGCGTAAGCATTTACATTCTGCTACAATTACCATTTATTCCCTGATATAAATTATAAGCTCTTGAGCTGTCGAGTTATAAAAATAGAGCGTTAATAAATCATCATAAAGAGGAATAAATCAATGTGTAGGGGTATAAAGCTCTTACAGAACGTAAATATAGGCTAAACCAAAATAAAACCATTGTATTAATTATCAAGATTATACTACCTTTTATTACAAATTGATGACTTTATATTCCAATATTTACTTCACGAACATTATTGTCACGATTTTAGACACAAGTTCACTTAAAAATACGATTATTTAATACAAAAAACACAAAACCTACAACTACAATACACTCGACTCCCACTTCGGATCGGCATTTGACGAAAACGACAACCGACTGAAATACCAAAGAAAGCTACCAAGGCGCATGACCTGTCACTGAAAAAGCGGTACAATCACGCACGTACGTGGCCAAAATGAAATAAAAAATATTGAAATAATTGGGCTTCTTATAGTATGGTAGTGTAAAGATGTATTCATGAAGCAGTGGAGTGTTAAGAAACTTCCCAGCATACTGTTTTATCACGTTAGGTAATTGTTTGTCTCTTATTAAATTTAAACTATCGTTTAACGTAAGTCTGAGCTTGTGCTTCTTGGAGTAGTTGAGTTGCGACACTAGCGCTGTTGAACTACTGTGACTACTGTCAATTTTCTGTTATTCGCCAAATTCATAATTTATTTCGTCGTTGATTCTGCAATATTAGCAATGTGCAAAATTTGTAATTAGTTAGAAAGGAAAAAAAACAGGTGTAAAAGGCAATCCTATCCGTGTAATGATTGATATTTTTCAGAATTGTAGATTTCTCAGAACAAATATTACCATTTGTACAACCTTAAACTGGTTTTCAGGAGGTGTAAAAAAGTTAGGTATTGCCAATCAAGGATTTGTAAATAATGTAAATGTAAATAATTCGGGTCTTTAGCGCGAACGAGAATATACGCTCGCGAGAATTCCGTGGGTATTACCAACCTTGGTATTATTTCCACCAGATCCCACAGCAATATCGAATTGTAGAGAGACGGTTTAAAAAAAAAGACATGTTTTGATGGTGGCGTATATTACATCTCCATAACGTATTAGAGTTTGAGAAAAGTGAACTTTAGGACATGTACATTTTTTATCTACAAAGAGAGAAGAGTTAAAAAGAGTTAAAAATAATAAGCGGACCGTTACAGTTATTAACGGTACAAGGCCGATAAGAAGCTTTAATTTTACAGCATTACAAATTTTATAATTTTCGCTTAATTGTATAGGCCATCAGTAAAACATCATTTTTTAAACTAGCTCTATACATATTGTTAGTGCTGTGGGATTTAGTAAAATAACCAAAGGTTGGTAATCTAGTAATAATTACAGAATTCTCGAGAACCTGTATTCTCGAGATTCTACAGTCAATATTTTTGTATGAGCGTTAGAATCGACAATAATTCTTTCAAATTTTTATTTATAATTTAGAAGTTTATAATTATTTGAACGCTGAAAATGAGTTCTATGCCTGTTACTTCCTCCACCTTGCTACCATTAGGTGAGTAATAAAAAACAAGGTGACAAGTCTTTTGGTTATCTGCCGGTGTTTCAGCAGTTAAATGTTTTCTTTTTTGTTGTAGAACTTGTAGATAAATGTATAGGATCAAGAATACATATAATTATGAAAAATGATAAGGAAATTGTGGGGACGTTATTAGGATTTGATGATTTTGTCAATATGTTGCTAGAGGATGTGACCGAATATGAGACAACACCCGAAGGAAGAAGAATAACTAAGTTGGATCAGATTCTGCTTAATGGAAACAATATAACGATGGTACGTTACTTTTTATTAAATACTCAAGTTTAATGTCACATTTTTTATTAAAACTTTTTAAAACTAATCCCACATTTTAGCTTGTTCCAGGTGGAGAAATGCCAGAGTAAATCTTTTATATGAATAAACTGTTATAAAAACATTTTTGTGTTTACTTTTTACCCTTGTGTATATTGTAAAAGTAAATCTTTTCTTCATTAAATCAGTTTGTATTAGTACAAAGAAAATTGTATTTTTGGTAAATTTTTGTGCTTCCATGCGACTTTTAGCCAAATTTTTGTAATAATGTTGTGTTAAATTATGAGAAAATACTTTCCACTTTATGATGAGGTAGACAACTATCTAATTCTATTGTATAACGTGTTGCCTGACATTTAGACCACTTTTTGTTGAAAGACGGGGGTGAAATAAAACGCAGTATACTATTATTCATTTATAGAAATAGAATAGACATTTTTAATCACAGTTAGAAATACTATTCAAGTTTAAGTTTCTGATTAGCTACTCTACAGAATTTGGAAACTTTGTTAAGTTTAATCTCAGAAAATATTGTATTCAGGGCTGGCGTTAAACATCTTTTATAGTCAACGAATCGTAAACTCATTATTCATCAACCACAATTTGTAATATCTATTTTGATTTAAAAAGGTTGACTCCACGATACATAATCAGAAATATAAACATAATTCCTTGTGCATTAATCCTCGTTKCATAGGAGACCTTTAAGTTTGGTGAAATGTATCATGTAGTCACCCTGAGTGTAATTCCTCATTTGTACAATTTTCAACTAAYGTAGAAGCTTAATTTCGATGTAACTAATGAATATAAGTACTACAAAGGCAACTAATTTCTTATACCGCACCTTAGTGAGCCATGTTCCAATCACAGTCGTCTAGTAATACCTAGTTAACCTTTACATAAACTAATACTATCAGGAAAAACTTGCAAAAACACCACGACACAGTCAGTGGTTAATTTATTCTAATAAGTTGGCTAAATTGTTTTGTACGTGTTCCTACAATTTTGTATTTTCAATTTTACTTCTCTCGGAAAAATTTGAATCAGAAAATACAGAAATTATATCATAAAACATTGTCGGTTTCTAAAACGACAACTTCAGTTTGTACAAACTACAACCAAATTTGTATCCTACATAACAAGGAAATTGTGTTAAAAATGTCTACGGCTAAGTAACAAAAACAAACCATAACAAAACAAAGGACCTATCGTATAAGTGCAACTGTGCGCCTAGAAAAATAATTCACACACAAAAAAAACTTCACCTCAGTTGCACACAATAATAAATATATCTATAGTTAAAATGGATATTGAAATGACGAATGTTTATACTTCATTAAAAAGATATGGGCACAAATACTAATACTGTTTTATAATAATTTTAAGTTATAGAAATCGATATTTTTTGCGTATCAACCGCTATTACTAACTAACTTTACATAATTAAGTTAAATAATAACATTAAAATAAGGATTGTTCTTGACAAAATATCTACACTAAAATATTTGAAAACGATATCAGAGGTCGTGGAAAATATTCCATTTGCAGTAAATAGATCACAAAATATCAAGTTTCAGCTTCATTTTAAAACTTATTCTTAAAGTGTTATCGTCAGAATTAGGAAGTATACCTTTAAAAAAGGAAATGTACTCATTAAGTAACTAAGTTCCTATCCCGGAAGTGGTGCCTCCGCGTAGAAGTCAGGTTCGTCGTCATCGGCATCCGGTTGGTCTCCATCAAGCTGAAATAATTAAACAATTATGTCAGTTATAGATTAACAAAGAAGCCTCTGTTTAGAATAGTAAAAATCAATGCTACTGATATTAATAATTCAACAAAACAATATAATTATTTTGACATAGATGAGAAAGATTTTAATCTATCTCTGTAAAAAAATATTCAAGTGAAGCGTTTAAAACAAGTATAAAACTGCTGTTTTCGATAGCAGTGGATGCAAACATTTGTTTTTCCACATGTAAAGACTTGGTAAACATCGAAGCAATTTAACGGAAGGGTTTGTGTAAAAGGTTCCTAGGGGATCTATTTATAGATCAAATATGCGGTTTTGAAACAAACTGGAGTATTTTGGTGCAGGTACCAAGACAAAAGAAGTAAAATGTGTGTATCGCTATTTTTATTCTTTGGAACGTAACTGTTACTGGAAAAAAATTTAATGATCAATAGAATAAAATAAAAAATAATAAACCATGTTAAATGACAATTATTATTATGCTAATTAAATTGCATGTTTGCACGCACCTAACTGTAATCACTGCATTTGGAAGAAATGATTAATGCTACTTATTATTTAAAGCAAAGGAATGTCTGGTGAACTGAATTTAAGTTATCATAATTAAGCCATGTTATTTTTGTTTTCGTTTATCGCAACATTATCTGAGTGTAGAAACTAATTAAGAAGGACCACAAACCTTTATGCTAAGAATTAATTAGTTTCAATTTTAAATTAAACTATATTTTGTTTTAAGCAGACATTTTGTGTGGTCTTAAGAAACACAAGTCAAAGATGCACTCTGAGCAGCTTCGTCTTGTGTTTGTCAACGATTGGATTGATTTACACAACCTTTTGTATGCAGATATGCTGATTTTAATATTTTCCTGCTACTTAATTGCTTATGCTTTACACGCAATCAATTTGTATTAAACCAACAGAGATTATAAAATATTCCATAACTTATAAAAGCAAATGATTTATTTGTCTTTTTTATTGTTATAAAAAGACTTCCGTATTTTTTGTAGCTCTACTGATTACAATAAGAAACACTTCGAAACATAATCTTAGCATAAACGTATAGCATGTCAGAAAAGTAAAATAAAACGAAGGACAAAAGAAAACCTTGGATACGTCGAGTTCGATGTTCCGTAACAAATGAAATTTGTCTTCGCAGACAGTATCACTGGAAATTTTTTGTAATTAAATCCCTGAAATTTTAAGCATTTGCGGTTTATCTTTTATTGAAAAAATAATGAATTATTCATAAAAACACAGGGGGTAATTTAAATAAATTATTTCTTAATTTTTTTCGTCTCTTGCTCACGTTTCCTAAATTGTCCGATTCCGCCTTTAAAGATTTCGAAGGTGTTTTTATTTGTGGTTGGCTCACTCATGTGTACAACCCCAGCAGTCAATCAACCGGAGGTTTGTGGAATTTCTGATAAGTCAGAGTTTGTTCCCAACAAAATGATAACTTATCAGAAAGACATTCAAGCGCGTGAGTCGATACAAAATGATTAAAAAACAAAACTCACCGCTCTTAGCTCTCTTGGTGAAAATATATGAGTCAGATAGCTTCTTAATGGGACCATCAAAATCAAAAAGAAGGGAAAAGCCAATGAGGCTTCTGTTGATTTTACTGTCCAAAGTACGACCAAACACATCAGCTGGATAAACGTAAACAGATGCATTTTTGCTGTCTTCACCTGGAACAAAAATAACACAATCAGAAATAAAGTCGATGAGCATGGAAAAGTTATTATTAAGCCTTTCCGTTGTTTTTAATTACACAATAAAAAAATCCTTTTTTTATATAAAAATGTAACATCAACATTTTAAGATGAAATATTTTTGTTTTATATTGTTTTGTGATCTAAAATCTGTAATTTTGTCGCATTCTCGCTTTTTCGCTTTAATTAAGAGTCTTTACTGCTTGGAAACGTTCTGTTCTCCAATTACCTATCGCCAAGAAACTCATAATTAATGTTCGGATTTAATTAATAAGTTTGAAATGTAATAATGTGTTTGTTGTTATAACTTGAAGGTTTATGTTTACATGTTTAGAGCGAAATACCTACTACCAAGCTACAAAACATAATATTAATGTTGACAAAATGAGTAACCCTCCTTTCAGAACAATACAGTGGCAAACTAAATAGCAAAACATGACTCAAAGGCGGGTGATTTCATATAAAACATTAGTAAATTAATGTTACTTGCTTTGTAAACATTGTTTTTATTATAAAATAGAACACAATAATACTAAATTTAATTATACAAAATGTGGTAAACTGTATTATATCTCTAATAATAACAAATAAACAAGTCGCAAGTGAATCATAAGTCTTTAATGTCACTTATTGCCACACCCACGGAAGACGGAAAGTATATATTCCGTTTGGCGTCTACCATTACAATAATTATTTTATTTTTTGTATAGGTAAATGCTGGCGTTAATTGTTAAAGTACCATTTCAGCAATTTATCGAAAGTGGTGTCAGCAAAGTCTTCAACCAATAGGTTAAATACGAGTAAATCCCCAATAAAATTTTTAGACCATTGTATTGTTATCACTTATTGTCATACATTTTCCTTAATTTAAAAATTTTGCTCATTTTGTTCTTACTTTTAACATTTAATTTAGATTTTTTCAAAGATGCTAAAAATATGATCATTATTAGGTAATGGTGTGGCAAATCCTTTGCTGAATTCTCTAAAATGTTGAAGTGATTCTTATTTTAAATGGACAATAATAAGCAATCACTTTAAATAGACAGAACAAAGTGAAAATAACTTCCATGAAAAGCCCCGTGCAAAGATTTCCGGACACGTGCCATATACCTACTCGTATGTTAACTTTACCGTTCCGCATTGAATTTCACTGAAATAATTTTAATTTTACTATAAGCTACACAGATTTACAAATAGTGTTTTTTTAATTTCCTATGTATTAAAATGTAAATGTTAAAGTGGTCATCGTAATTTGTATAATTTATTAGTTTTAATGTGGGTTTAATAAAATTATAACCATGAAACTTAGCTGCTACCTTTTAATAGTTTTTTAAATGTCAGTAAAATAATTCAATGAAAAGTTGCAGAATATAAAAATCCTTTCTCCGAAAGTTACGAATTAATGTTGGAAGTTAACGTATTTTTTTAAATATTTAAATTGAAAATGATTTTGCGCACACGTTCTAAAATAAGAATCTTGACCATACTCAAAACAGTCGAACAATAAAATCCTCATGAGACATTAAATTTGTATAAAAAATGTGTTTTTTTTAATGAAATGTGGTAGCTGTCAACAACGTATGTACGTTTGTACAAACCCCGGTTTAAAAATAAAAAGCTACAAAGGGGTCTCAGTGCTCGAATCAATGCTGTGTTTTTTCGAAAGGACCGGTTTATTTTTCCCAACGAATTAACCTCCTATCACGTTGCACGTGCAGAAAAACGATTATGATTCAAAACGTGTCTCATTTGAGAAATATCGCCATTGGTTTTATGAAATGTGCGTGATGCGTGTCTTCATTATCGATTTCTGTCCCGACCCGAGCTGTGCGCAGAACGGCATTTCGCCTCTTTTCCTAACCGAAGAGCTCCAAACGGTTCACAGTTTGTCTGGTCGATTGCACCTCTTTCCCACTACGGCGACTCGCTCTGCCCCTTCGAGCCCGCGCAGCCCCGCACTAGCCCAAAGTCGAGTGTAGAGGGGCGCCAAACCTCGCCATCTGGATTCAACAAGCAAACCAAAGTTGAAATTAAACTTGTTTAGGAGTGACAGTGGCCCGCATGTGCAACTATTGTGCGATAAAAAGTGATAATACGTAGTGTACGTGAAAAGTTGACGTGTTATCGGTAATAATTCCCCTTATCTTAGGTAACCTTTGTCTGATTGGGGCTGTTTTAGGTGGAGCGGAAGAGACGCTACGGGCGTGGCTGACCAAGCAAACATTACTCATACCCGGCATCCAACTGTCAATCTGACATTAAAAATCGTGAAGTGAATAACAATGGCAGTGTAGGTCCAAACCGGTGTTTTATCACAATGAGTGCCAACAATGTGAATGCTCAACCTGCCCCTACCACACAAGCCACCGCCACGATCAAGTCCAGACCCAACATAATGCCCAGCAGTTACTTGTACACCTCGAGCAGTGCCCTTTTGAACCGCAACTCCGAGAATAAGCCCACGCCGCCACCCACCCTCCCCAAGTACACGTCGAGTTTCAACGCCGGCAGCGGCCTCAACCGCGACAGGGACAAGGACAGCATCGGGGGCTCCTACCGACTCTCCAGTCTCGACAGACTAGCCATGAGGCAGAAATTCATGGACCAGCAGAGTCCCACAAACGCCAATTCCAATGGCACGATCGCCCAGACCAACGGCAGCGAAACCACATCAATACAAACCAAACGCGAGATGTTTTTCACCTCCACCACCGACACCAAGGACTCCAATAGAATCAAACCATCCACAATGGACAAACCCCCCGAACCCCCGGTCAAATCCCCTCCGGAAGCAACCAAAGAAGACACTAGTAAGGAATCCACCCCGGAAATCGTCAAAGAGAGGCCTAAACTGAAAGAATTGGACGGTTATGTAGGCTTCGCAAATCTGCCCAACCAAGTGTACCGGAAAGCCGTAAAGAAGGGCTTCGAATTCACTCTTATGGTCGTGGGGGAGTCCGGCCTTGGCAAGTCCACACTGATAAATTCCATGTTTTTGACTGAAATCTATAATTCCACGGATTATCCCGGACCCACTCAAAGACTCAAGAAGACCGTGGCGGTGGAAACCACCCGAGTCATGCTCAAAGAAAACGGCGTAAATCTCTTACTAACAATGGTTGACACCCCCGGATTTGGCGACGCCGTCGACAATAGCAACTGCTGGGCCCCCATCATTGAATACATTGAATCAAAATACGAGGACTACTTAAATTCCGAAGCTCGAGTCACACGAAAACAAATCCCTGACCAGCGGGTCCACTGTTGCTTGTACTTCATCCAACCTTCAGGCCACGGCCTCAAATCCCTCGATATAGAATTTATGAAACGTTTATGTGATAAAGTGAACATTATTCCAATAATTGCAAAAGCCGACACTTTGACGTCCGACGAATGCGCCCTGTTCAAAAAACAAATCCTGAACGAAATCGCCCAAAACAAGATCAAAATTTACGAATTCCCCGACACCTCCGAAGACGACGAAGAGCACAAGTTGAACAAATCCCTCAAAGAGCGAGTCCCTTTTGCAGTGGTGGGCTCAAACACAGTCATAGAAGTCGACGGAAAGAAGGTCCGGGGTCGGAGGTACCCCTGGGGTATCGCCGAGGTCGAAAATTTGGAACACTGTGATTTTATCGCACTTCGTAACATGATAATACGCACTCATCTCCAAGACTTGAAGGATGTCACCAATAATGTGCACTATGAGAATTACCGATGTCGCAAACTGGCGGGCTTGGGGGTCGATGGAAAGCCTTCACGTATTTCAAACAAGAATCCTTTAGCGCAAATGGACGAGGAGAAGCGCGAACATGATCTCAAGATGAAGAAAATGGAGGCGGAGATGGAGCAAGTGTTCGAGATGAAGGTCCGTGAGAAGAAGCAAAAGTTGAAAGATAGTGAAGCAGAGTTGACTAGAAGACATGAGGCGACGAAGAAGCAGCTGGAGCAGCAAGCGAAGGAGCTCGAGGAGAAGAGGAGACAATTCGAGCTCGAGAAGGAGCAGTGGGAGAARGAGAATCAAATCACGGTTGAAGAGTTGCGTCGAAGATCGTTGGAAGGTAGCAGAGAAGCAGTGGATGGAAAAAAGGAGAAGAAGAAAAAGGGACTTTTCTAACACTGAATGTATAGTTTTGGTGTGGTACCTTCTTAACATTCATGGTAATTTTTTTATTCTAAGTGACATACATAAACGGCAGAGATAGTTTCGTATAGTGAGACACTCCCGCAATAGATTGAGAAATTATTGTTTTGAAAATACACTAACTGCCATTATAAATAGCGTAATTGTCTACGTGCCGATTTAATATTTTTTACCATGATTAAATTGTGAGCTGTTTAGAATCGTACAGTACTTTTAAGAGAATATGAATGGGAATTATTTAACTTATATAAATAAAATCAATTATTTAAACAGAAAAGTGTCTTTTCATGACATTTTGCTTCTATGCAATGTGCCATTATTTTTTATTATTTTTATTTACAATGTATTAACTGTAAAAATAAATTCTTTTCTGAGAGGGGTTTTTAATTTTAATTACGAGATTATGTCGTTAACGTTTTCATGTATAATATTTTTTTAATTTTCACCCGTTTAAATCTGCAAATCTCATTCTAAAGCTATAAAATTTTACATAATGCAATATTAAAAAATATGAAATTTAATAGCTTAACCAGTTTTTATTACACCACGTCATTGGTATGTTTGAATCATACACATACATAAAGATATTGATTTTTTTCCACTCAGTTGAGATTTCCCTACGGATTTGCATTATTGAGTATTCTGTAATGTTTTCAATTTTCGCTTTAAATGCTGTGTTTAATTTAGCACTCATTTAACAATTCATAACGGCACCGTTTTAAGTTCTTTAACGTATTAAACTGTGCCCACACAAATTGCATCCGAGGTCATCAGCAATTTTGGTTAAACTGTTTCATAAATTAATTCAGACCTGCTAAAAAATGTACAGAGGGAAATTGTACAACGCAGATTAGGATGTTGCTGGTTCTTAAATTGGGTGGATGTTTTACAAGCCTTTTATCCTCAAAATTTAATTCACTTAAATTTTCGTTGTTTAAACAGAAAAAATCTGCTGCTAACACATAATCTATAAATAATAATGTCACATTCTTTTGCAAATGTTGTAATCAATTGTTTGCTCGGTTTTAGTACTTGTAAAAAAAGTGAAACAGCAGGTACTTCGGGTTATCGTACTTTCACGTAATTGCATGTTTTAGCCGCTTAATTGTCCCCTTTTTCACAGAAGCAGGTTTTTCATCTTTGGAAACGATGCTCAATCAGGGATTTCTTCGCAAGTTTTAATTTTGCCAACATTATACAGTAGTACACTCCTTTGAGTGACAATTACAAAAATTAGAACTTAGCAGCATTTTCAGTTTTTATTTACAGTAGTAATTCATAAAACAAATCATTTAAACTGAAAGCATTAACAGTCTAAACGTTAGTTTTCTATTACTTCGAGTATAATTGTATTAATATACAAATATTGTTAAAAATAAAGAACAATATTTATTCAAATTGCAGTTCGATTATCCACCAAAATTTGGAATTAAAATCTGAAGGTTTTTGTTGAATTAAAGATTGTTCTTTCATTCACTGTTTTCGTGTATGTTGATGCTGACATTTTCATTTGATTTAATTATGTTTTTTTTGTACATATACCTAATTTAATAAAAACAATATAGCTTACATGTTTAGTAAAACTTTGATATTTCAATTTCTTTTAAGATTCTAGTGAAATCTGTTATTATCATATAATTTTATTTCTCTATTGCGTCCATTTTTATGGCCGTCTTAAAATATATTTCATCTTTTAGTTATGAGAGTTATGGCCAACCAAGAGACACAAGTTTCATTAAATTAATTATAATTATTATACTCTGTTATCACAGGACTCAATTTTAATTTGATCTGTAGCTCTATAAAATTTTTTTACATCGCCCTCTTTTGAATAACAAATTAACTTTTTATTGCTCAAGTGGTTAAAACGATGTCTAAGAAAGACTGAAGTATTAAACATATACAGTTTTTATAGGAACCAAAGTAAACCCTAATTTCCATAAATTTATCGCATTTAACGAAACTCTTGATTAAAATTAAAATAAAGCAATCTACTTCTACTTCTAGTCGAAAATTAGCAGCAGCAGTAATAAAGTAAACCCGAATGTTAAACAAAAAAGTCTGCAGAACTTTGATCTTAATTAAAGTTGAAGTGTATAAACCTAAATTTTACAACAAATCTAATAAGATCTGTTTGCTTTTATACTTGGTTGCAGAATTTCAATTATAAATCTGTTAAAACACTTACTTTTAATAAGCCATACTCATACAGTAATTTCAAAGCAACGCTCGACTGATTTTCGACTAGGAAAAGGTGTGGAAGAATTGAGATTGAACACTTAAAACGAAGTTGCAATGACCCGTTTTAAATGAGTAGGTTTTAATGTATCATCATGTTGTTTAAAACGGATTGAATTGTCTTACAAATTGACGGTAGGTAGATAGCTAACGGAGCTTCATTCAAACGATGATCCAGTTTATTATAGAATAGAGAAAATGAAGTCAGCTGCTTTAGAACTAATTGCTAACTGTATTCTGTCTATTCGTACACTTGACAGTCTTCAAAAATAATGCTTCATGAAGTAAATAATTAGATTTGAAAATGGTGCAAGTAATTAAATTATAATACTGCACCGAAATAGTCTGTCTTTGAGATGAAAATTTAATTAAGCTAAACATAGTTGAAAAAGTGAAAGCTCCATAAAAACTTTGATCTTTACGGGCAACTTCCTGTTAAAATATTACTGTTATACTGGAAAAAGGTGTGCAATATATGTCTCATGAATTTAAAAGTTGATTTCGGTGGAGATTCCCAGGATCAATCCAAAGTTTATTGATCTTCGCATCTCGTATATCTCGCGAGAATCAAAGTGTAAACTGTGAATATGTTAATGTTCTTTTAAAGTTATCAACAGTGCAACAAATGTAAACTTAACTCGAAACCCCCCTTTTACATAATCAAAACATTGCAATGTGCACTTGAAGACTGTGAACTTTGTCTTTATGTTTTTATCAACATCTATGCTACATAAACAATGCGCGTATAGAAATAATCGGTTTATTTCGAAGCAGAATATTGTTTGTTTTCTTACAACTAAAAAAGACTCACCTTCCTGACGTAGGACGCCTGTGGATGATGCTTTACTGGCATAAACAGCAGCTTAATGCGATCAAAGAACTGAATCCCGTCGATGGAAGCCGCCCCCATGTAGAGGAACACCCCGAAGAGTACCGCCATCGGAACCCTCTTCAATAAGGGCGACATAAGCACCGAAAGTCCAACCAGAATAGACACAGCCAATGCAGAAATCCTTTGTTCCTTGACTTCGATCAGGTGCGGTTTTTCGCCGGGGGCGTGTGTTCTCGACATAACAGTCAACGCCGAGACGTGAGCAATAGATCGCACGGTGGCGGCGCAAATCCAGGGCAGGCCGAAAAAGCCGCACAAGATGTTGATTAAACAGATGAGCACTATATCTAAATGGAATCCGCTGCCTTTTTTCAGCTTGCGTTCCTTCTTATCGATGATGAGTCTGAAAGGAGGTTTTAAGCTCGCTTGTGGTTATAATAAACAGTTTAATTACTCGGCAATATGAGTCTCCATAAACAGAAGAATGTAGACGAGCATTGCCGGTATTCCCGAGGCGAACATGATCCAGATGGGCATGGAAGGATCGGGGCTGTTGGGAGGGATAAACCAGCCGCGTTTTTCAGATTTTGTCGGGGATAAGCCTTCGGGAACGTTGAGCTTCTCGGTGTATGTCGCGGGATTCATGTAGTCCACGAAAACCATGGTTATGATGGCTATTGGAACGCCGAAATCCCCAAGCGCTCGTCTTGCCTATAAAGAGGAGTCGGTTTATTTGACTTTTGATAAATACAAACAGAGAAGTTCTTGTTTATGCAACTTTTAGTGGCTCGTAAAATGTGTTATAAAACAAAATATTTGCTATAGTGTTTATTTTATATGCACAGCTAGACATTTAATTAGCAACTCGATGGAAAACAAACTGTGATGCAACCAGTTAAACACCAGCTTAAAGCTGTGAATTTTGATGCACAGTAATACACGGTGTTTCACATAATTTTACGAAGCCTGCGCCTGTAAGATGCAATCAATAATATATATTCCGATATGAACTCGACTACAAATTTAAAAAAAATTGGATAATCTTCTCTAGTTTGTTCACCCTTTCAAAAATTACAACGTTTTTAAGTTAGTTAGTGATTAAGATAGATAAACTACAATCATATTCATGCAGTCTATTGATAGAATAAATGATAACTGTTTCTGAAAAACTGCAGTTTATGACTATTAATGAAACAGTGATTAGTTTGACAACTATACTGTCATGGGTTTCCAAAAATTAAATAATTAAATGTGTATTTTTTGTATCCAGTGTTCTGTCACTTTTATATATTTGGGTGCGTACATTAGGCGCATGCCTCGTAAAGTTAGGTGAAACACCCTGTACATACAGGGACACTTTTTATTAGTATACATAGGCCTATGTAAAGTCTGTTTTTTTTTTAATGGAAATACCAAACAGTCTTAACGTTGGCATCACTAGTAAATTCATTTATGGTAATTTTAATAAAGGAAGTTGGCAGTTCCGGTTTTTTGAATTAATTTGAAAACAATGTCATTAAACGTCAACACAAAAAAATCGTGTAAGAAATTTAGAGAAGAAACACCAAAAAAGGTACAAATTCGGTACTGCTAACAGTTTTTAGAAATTTGTAAACCAATAGTTCGCAAGCAGAAAGTTAGAAAAAGGGCCTGTTAAAATGTAGACACAATTTGTAATGCAGGTTTGCTAAACATCCTCAATTTTCAGCAAGAAATTGACAAGAATACAAAATAAACATGAATGAGAAAGAACTTCGGAAAGAACGCAATTAAATTAATATCTTGTGCATCGTTTTTGAGAAACGAGTTGAAAAAGTAACAATTTTGAAACTGAAGCTGAAAAAGAATTTATAAATTGCATCAACTTTGAGCTCATTTCAAAAAATTACACAAAATTTATTGCCAATCATCATAATACCTACTTGTATCTTTTGCTGAATAACTTTTTTCTGTATACACATCCTTTTTCATTAAAGTTTTTGTAGCAAGAACCTCTTTTTTGTCCACAACATTGTACTTACTTGCGGTGTGTTTCTATCAAAATTGTTAGCACTGAATTCGGCCTTTAGACCTTAGGTAATGATGTCTGTCTTCAGGTATCCAATTATAGCGCTTTCAAAAAGCAAACAGGCACACAAGATTCATAAAAGTCAAAATTTTGACAACATCTCAATTTGGGAACATTACCATAATTTTTTAATAAAATTTCTGGGGACAAAAACAAAGAGCAAACAAAATTTGTGACTATGGAGACAAGCTGCTAACAATTTTTTCACCCAAATTTTGACTTGGTAATTTCCATTTAAAAAAAAAACAGACTTTATTCAGTTAAAAAGACCGAGTCAATTTCATAGGTAGGCGACCAACATTTCAAGCTTTAAAAATATTTTTGTGTCAAGTGTCAGTCTTGAAACTAAAGCGCAGCTTTAAAAAGTTAATACCATTTATGATACCATGTACACCAAAGTGAATCGGGAGATATAGTCCCATCCCATAGCCCCCACAATCGTCAGACTTGGCACTTAACGATTTTTTTCTTTGGGGGTATTTAAAAATAAAAATTTATACTAATGTTCCAATACAAAATTTAAAAAGAGCTGAAAAAACGTATGCGTACAGAATGTAATAATATATATTCTGAATTTATCAGGAATGCAGTGACGGAGTTTTTAAAATCGCTTGGGTTATTGTTTGGAACTGCAAGAAAAGCATTTTGAACACTTGCTTTAATTATTAAATATTTTTCATGTTTAGATGGGTTTTAATTTTTTCTAATTAATATTTAATTGTTGTTTTTAAAAGTTTGTCTTTTATTTATCGATATTAAAGCCTTTGTAATATTGGTTCTCTATGCCTAGACTAACGGCTAATCATAATTGCATTGAAGTTGACTCGGTTTTTTTAAAAGTAAACATAGGACTATGTATACTAATAAAAAAAATGTCCCTGTATATCATGTTTTATAGCCGTTATTGACACTGGTTATTAAAGTGCAATCACGACGAATAACAAAGATTTTTCAAATTCTCGAACATCTAGAAATGGATCTGAGAAATAAACAGTTGAACAAACACTTTCACGAAATGGTAAATGAAATGTAATAGCTACTAAATATCGGCGATCGTGTATCATGATAGAGTTACAAATTTATGAGATTTATAGCCGGTTTATAACCTTTAGTTGCAACCACATTTTAATTCGCGTTTAATTTGACGTTTGACTATGCAAAATAGTTAATTCCGAATTCGTACCTAATTACAACTATACATTAAGTAAATGCTGAACTGTTTCCAAAACACTGCAAGTAAACTAATTGAGTGCTGCTTCAATCCATTTATACTCATTATCTATAACCAAATTAATTGATTGGTTACTATCACGCAAATGGTAACAGGGGTATTAGGTTGCTTCCTGTTGGTTAAAAAGTTAACTTTGTAAAAAAGATTTTCGTTTAAAATTGCAACGTTTCTACATTATTTTATGTTTCCATTTGATTGCACATAGCACAACACAGGAATACGTAAATTCCTCGCAAATTTGGAAATTATGACGTAATAAACTTTTATGACCTTTTGCTTGTATTCGGCTAAAGCATTAATTTTGCTGTAATTGCTTAGGGACAATTAAGCCAAAAATTCACAGAAAACTAATTTAATTGCAAATTAGGTAGGTATATACTTGTTACTTTCATGAGGTGGACGTTGGTAACGACTTGATTTTGTAAAACCATAAATAACTCTTCGTAAAGTATTTAATTAAAAAAGACAGGTGTATTTAAGTAAAATTCAGTGTTTTTTTTTCGTTGTTTTTCGACAAAAAATATTAAATGTTAACTGTTAATGTAATGATTTCAAGACTATACAATACTCCCATCTTTCATGATAGTAATTCAACAGTCAGAAATGAATTCAATTTGCTTGTTTTTCATATTTTTGAATAAAATTATAACAAAGCCCGTGTTATGTTATCTCCATCCACGTGCCTATGGATCAGCATAGAAGCTTCCATAAGGAAACGTAAACATCACGCGCCTCTCAATCATGAAAAACCTTGCAACCCTTCACTGATTTATATTATAAATTCAAGATAGAAAATACGCATATTTTAATCTGAATTTAAGTCTGGTTCAAGTGTGAAGTCTTAATTTAGTCCAAGTCAGTCACGAATTTGCAGAGCTCTTGTTAATCAAGCAAATATCATTTTGATAAATTATATCGTAATGTATTGCGAGCTTTTTGTAACGAACTCTAAAAACTATAGAAATAACCCTAGAAATATAACTATAGAAATCGTTTAAAAAAGTATAACTTTATATACTATACGATTAATTGTGATGAAAATTCAACTTTCATAATCACTATGCAAAAAATATTTTTTCTAAAAAAATCGAGTTGTTAACGCTCCATGTTAACTCCCGTAACAATTTTGAGTATTTTTTGAACATTTTTTTGCTTGACTCATCGTGCATGAGGCAGTGAATTATTTTGTGAATTATTTTGTCACAAAAACCAGCTTTTTTTAATATCTTAGTATACTTACACTTCTTCCCAAAAACTGGCTATTTCGGAACAACTTCAGATAGTAGGCGATAGCAAACGTTCCCAGTGCCAAAATAGTACAAAACAAAGCTGTGTTGGGTTGATTAATTGGGCCGAGCATATCATGTGTTGGTAGCCTCCTGCCGCCAAGGTTCATTGGAGGATACGAATCATTGGTCAAATTTTGCATAATTGTATCATTTGATAAATAATAATTTTCCGGAAAATACTCAGGATCTGAATTGTTAGTGGAATAAGCATCTTCCGACTCGCAGTAATCTGCTAGAAGTGGATGCCTATCGTACAAGAAAAACAATTTCATAACACTTTCAATTATGTAAAGTAAAACGATAAGCGCTGAGAAAATGTCTTCAGTGAACCGAGTGAATAATTTAACAAGAACGCTTCCTTCTAAACAAGCCACTACAAGTCCTATTACACCTAACCAAAGTCCGATATACACACGCGTCGTCAAAAATAAATCCTCAAAACCACTGGATTTGCAAAATTCGTATAAACTTTCGTCAAACAGGAGAAGTGGTCCTGTGCTGCCGACGATCACAAGTGGCTGTCCCGACAAGATAGCAAAAATAATTCCTGCAGCGGAGGTAGACAACAGAGTTTCAGATATGCCGATGAATCCGTTGGTTTTGGCCCCCAGCAGCCCTCCGAAGGCTATGGCCCCCGACACCGCCGCGAAGTACATGAAAATTGCCGCCGCAAAGCATTGCGCGTTGATTCCGTCGATGACGTCGCTCTTGAAGTACGGATAACGACGCTTCAAGTCGTTGATTAGGCCACCCCACGGCCGCCGCGTCCTCTCAAGGGGGTTGGGATACGGCGGCTTCTTTTCCTCTTCCACCGCCAGCAGCGTCTTGGTTACGCCCTGCGCCTCCTCCGCCGACTTCAGAGCGTTTTCCTTCCGCCGTTTTATCAACTCGCTCTTCGCCTTGATCTCCTCTATGGGCAGCAGCGCCTGGCGCTCCCAGTCCCCGGGAGGCAGCACGATGCTGTCGTCTAAGAACTCGTTGATGGCCGAGAGGAGCGCCTTGCGATTGCTGGCCCCGTAAGCAATGTTATGGAACTGCTGATTGGCCATGAGAGTCGAAATTGATCTGCCCACTTCGTGATAGTCCAAATTAGCTTTCTTCGGTCCCAAAAGAATAAAAATAAATCTCACTGGTATGTTTACTTCGATGAGCGAGGGAATCATGACTCCCTCGGCTAGTCGCAAGAACGCCATGGCCGGTTGCTCGAGGAAATCGACTTCGCCGACGAGAATGCTGGAGCTTTGGGCTCCCGGAGGAATTCGTTTTAGGATTGCATCGTTGCGTGCCCTGCGGACGTCTTCGGAACTTGCAGAATACATTTCTTCTTTTATGTCGATAACGGTTTGGTCGGGACCCATCAGCCGGCTGCCAGCGTCGGTCGTTCCGCCGTTCTTGTAACTTTCACTCGAAATACTAAATTTCTTCTTTTCGGCATCGTGGAGGTTCTAAACAAGAAAAATTCGAGTGAAAATAACAAGAAAATGAGGGTAGGAACTATGAGCAAAATCAAGCAATGGTACTTCTACCTGATTAGATAAAAATATTAGTGCAAAAACTATGAAAATTGTAATAAAGTTATTCAACGCAAACGAATTTTGTAAATGTTTCAGAAGTAAATAGCACAAAAGCGTCTGCAATTTTTACAACATAATAAAGCTACGAGATTTTCAATTAAATTAGCAGTGTCACAAATACAATACAATTAATTGTTCATCTTTTATTCGACTTTTGTAATGCATAAGTTTTTATAATAACGGATACATTCTACACTTTTATCTTTTTGGCAGTTATATATTTTAAATTACACAGATATCAATATTTCCAAGCTACGTTACCTAAATTAGTTATATAACATTTGATTCAAAGAAAAAAAATTGAAAAAACTTAAATTGCTCGTAATTTATTTATTACTTAATTTGAATCGTTTATAAGAATTCGTTGAAGTCTTTGTCCGTTTGGAAATTAAAAAACCCTATTTTATTATCTATTAGGTATTAATAGACAACATAATGTGATAATATGAGATATGTATACAGGTATATGAGTATCAAAATAGTTAAAACAAAACTTGTAACTAAATGATAAAAATCAGCTTTGTATAAATCATCTTATAAAGAAACTTATTTCAAAGAGTTTATTCATTCTTCACAAATTCATTACTATTTACAATAAAAAGTTCAATTTTTAGGATGACAGCAAAAATATAATATAATTTCAATTTAGAGTAATCACATTAAGTGGCCTTTTAAATATAGAGTTAAAATCCACTCTAAAATGATTAAAAAAGTACATATGTAAATAAAAATCATACAATGTGCATGTATTTATTTTAAATGTTTTTCGATTTTCCATTTACAAAAAATGCAAGACGCAATTAAACAATTGAAATATAACCGATATAATTATGTATACATTGAATAAACAATAATTCTATTTTTTTGTCTTAATTTTCAATAAGACAAAAAATTTGTTTCTCACTATTACAATCGATTTTCGATTTTCCATTTACAAAAAATGCAAGACGCAATTAAACAATTGAAATATAACCGATATAATTATGTATACTCGTACATTGAATAAACAATAATTTTATTTTTTTGTCTTAATTTTCAATAAGACAAAAAATTTGTTTCTCACTATTACAATCTTCAATAATTTCAAATAAATATTTTCTGTTTCGTTCTTAGAGATCAAATGATTGTAATAAATGTGCACACAGATATCAAAGTAAATTATCTATTCTATTTATAATTATTTCCCCTCAAATAATAGCTTTAACCGTTTATAAATTTTTAGGGTGACAGCAAAAATATAATATAATTTCAATTTAGAGTAATCACATTAAGTGGCCTTTTAAATATAGARTTAAAATCCACTCTAAAATGATTAAWAAAGTACATATGTAAATAAAAATCACACAATGTGCATGTATTTATTTTAAATGTTTTTCGATTTTCTATTTACAAAAAATGAAAGACGCAATTAAACAATAGAAATATAACCGATATAATTATGTATACATTGAATAAACAATAATTTTATTTTTTTGTCTTAATTTTCAATAAGACAAAAAATTTGTTTCTCACTATTACAATCTTCAATAATTTCAAATAAATATTTTCGGTTTCGTTCTTAGAGATCAAATGATTGTAATAAATGTGCACACAGATATCAAAGCAAATTATCTATTCTATTTATAATTATTTCCCCTCAAATAATAGCTTTAACCGTTTATAAATTTCTGTCAGCAATATTACTGATAACTGTTTATATTATTCTTATTAGGTGTCGACTTGTTGGTGATATCTAAATAATTAAAACGTTAGTAGACGAACTTGCATTAAAAATGTATCACACCCAACATCCACGAACGTGTTCTGTTTTGACAAAAAAAATTAAAATTCGGAAGCTACATGCAGAGTTTCGACATATCCAAACAAAATAATTCAAAACTAATTATTGCAAGCAAACAACTGGGTTTAAAAACAGCCAAAGCGACAGTCGCTATTACTTGTAAAGCAAAGCAATCAGCGATACATAAAATCAAATAAAAATTTTAGCAAAATTTGGGGTAATAAAACATTTATTGAAAAACACATTCAAGTTGGAAAAAAGAGACACACGTGGACATTACGTGTGGGTAAGAAGGACCGCGAGTCATAGCGTGCAGAAGACACAGCTGTCCCTGTGAAGAACACACGGAGCAGCGGGCCATCATCACAGCATCGTAGCTTACGCCGTCTTCCAGCCACAGTGACTGTAAGCATTATCTTTTTCAACAATAACCCCTAGAGAGACATTGTCAGCAAACTGTCGTATTTTTAGCTTTTCAACAGATTAGCGAAAAATATAATAAACACCACTATACAGTATTAAACCAGTAGTTATTTCATTTTCTAATACGTTACTTAATCATAATCTTAATACACGATGTCAAAAAGGAGTATGTTCGAGCAGTTTTGATGGAAAAGGTAATGATTTGTTAGCACATGGTTTCTTTCCAAATATGTAATGATGAATGTTGAGGAATTCATTTTAATAAATCAGAAAACTGAATTGAACTAACTGAACCAAGCAATACTCCTGATGGACAAATTAATATTTATACAGCATTACATATTACAAGTACCCATTATTATTATAGTAGTATTTATACATTATTAGAAGTAGGTACATCTCGAAGTAACATACAACATGATCTACACCAATATACAGGGTGTTTAAAAATGCCGCACTAAAACTATGGTACGTTGTCTAGAAGCATTTGGTAAGTGAGAAAAAAATATTAAAAAAATTCTTGATGTTAATCATTTTATTTTATCGTAAATCTGGCAACTGCGTGTAACTACCTTGAGAAAATCAAAAGAGTTGCCATAAAATAATTCAATTCTTGAATTCATTGTTACCTTTAAACGTTGCCGCATCGATTTTTGCGTAATTATCGATAATTTAGAAGAGGTAAATCGCATTAAATATTAAAGACAATAGACATTGCGTTAAAGATTATTAATCTACCTTCCATTCTGCATATTTTAATTGCATTTTGAGTGTTACTTAGTAATAATAAATACAACTAACAACGTTTGAAGACAAAACCCCCACTGTGCAGAAAAATAAAAACCAAGAATTTTTTAAATATATTCCCTCGCTCACCAAATGCTTCTAGACACCGTAACATAGTTTTAGTACACCCTGTATAATTACAAGAATGATTATTTTTGGTTTAAAAGCAAAATTAAGATTTTAAAAGAGGAAAAAATGGAGAATGTTTCAATTTTGCTGTAATAACATTAAATTAAGTAATAAAAAATGAGTTTCTCCATACTTAAACAGGCTAATCAAAAGACATGAAATTAAGCGGGTTTCTTTCCTTAAATTAAAGTCGCTAAAATGTATGGATATATTGACATGAAATTTAGTAGATGTCTAAAAATAATTTTCATACTAGGTTGGTTGCAATTTAAAAAAATGCAGAAGTCACAAAAAGTATTTCCAAAATCTTCATTCTTAAAAACGATTACATCTTTTGTATTTAATCTCGGACCAAACAGGTTTAGGCTTAAGTATATAAAACCTAATCAATGGATTGAATGCCTAGTAATACGTTTGCTCCATTTGACCCTTCATGTTTGTACGAAAAACAAATACGAAAAACCTATTTCCTACACAATCTTCGACTAAATACAAACGTATATGCATGCAATTTTATTAAAAATTTACTTGTGTTGAAGCAAAACCATTTTCAATATCGATTTCTTGACTTGCAGATGATTGTAACAATTTTAACAAAAACATATTCACATTTGAACAGACTGTTAGTTAACACACAGCGGGTAAAAACCACCCTTGATAAACTAGGTAGGTAATGTAAAAAGCTACCGAATGGCACTGAGTTAGTTAGTTGTGATGATTTGATTCTTATATAGAGGCCCGTTTTAACAAGTCTAAACAAGAAAAATCCCTTCTCTTCTTAATGGCACAAATGAAAATTTTTGACTACAAATATTTAATATACCTAGCTTAGCATTTGGAAAAAATATGCATTAAATTAATTTGTTCAAATCCACATGTAATGTTTTGACAATTCATTAAATCTTTAGATTCAACTTGAAGCAAAATTCTGGTTTGCGAAAAGTCCTTTTATGAAGTTGAACACAATAAAAAGTGTAAAAAATAAATTTTAACGTTGCAAGTTTAGCCACAATATTTTACTTATTTTTAATTTTATATACCAGGTAAACAGAAAGTATGCGGAACCAAAAAGTTTTTTGTTTAAACTATTGATGAATGATAAAAATACTGTAAAAAATGTGATGTTTCTTAAGAAAAAAACTTTCCGATTTTTGTTTTGTTTTTGGTCATTTTCCAAATGGCAACCCACTATAAAAACCTTTTTTTTTACAAAAGCTATGGTCTAAGCATTACAACTATCTAAATTTTATTCAATGTTTATCGAAAAAAAACTGATACGTATAAGTTGTCATTTAAATAAAACCGCTTAACCTAAAAATAAAACAAAATTTCATTCTCAAAACACGATCATATTTTTTTAGCCGAGTTTTTAGCACTTTAATTTTTATTAATAATTATTACATTCTGAACGAAAAAACACCCGCTTGGATCCATACTTTTTGTTCAACTTGCATGTAACGAGCTCGATAATAATTAATTGCCTATTAACAAAGAAGCGATTTTCCGTATTGAGTCTGTTTAATAATAGAAGCTACTAATAATTTCATAATTTTATTATTAATAAAAAAATTAAATCTGTTGGACTTGGACCATGAAGAAAATAAAATAAAGAAAATGTCAAGTAGAAAGTAAACTAAAACATTTTTATTTTATTTAATTAAAATGAATTTGGCAAATCATTGCTACATACTGATTTAACAAATGTGAACCTATTCATAAATTTTCTGATTAACATAATTTATTTTATTTTCAACATTTCTTCTACTTTGCTGCTTGATTTGCCATTATTGCTAATAACAAACCGCTTCCGTCAAAGCAAACTGAAAGACAAAAATATGACCGTAATTGAATTTTCCAAGTTAAAGTTGACCCCCCGCAAGTATTGGTGGGTCTTCTTAATCCTCAACTTTTACTTTTAAGAGGGTTAAGTTTATTTGGTGGTCGCATTGACCAACTCCGGAAAATATTATTATATTTTTTTAAGGTTTCAATAAAAGAAAAATATAAAAATTAAGAATAACTTAATTTGTAAATGTAAATTATTAAAACAATTACTAGGTATACAATTTTCTTTATTTAAGAAAACTGTTCGCTTTTGACTGCATTATTGTAGACGTAAGTATCAGGTAAAAACTCACACCCTGAACAGGTAGGTTAAAAACTAATGAATGGATTTTAACTTGTTCTTCCACAGATTCGTTTTAACATGTTTGAACATGAATACGGCCCCTCTCTTCTTTAAATGACCTACTATGTTGTAATCGAATAACTCGCGCTTATGAAGAAACTTAATTATCATGAAGATAATTTTGATATTAGGTGTACATTCCAAGTTAATAAAATCGATTTTGCAATTTCAGAATTTTATAGAATCCCGCACATGAAATCATTCACAGTGGAGAGGTTTCTTATCGAGAGAAAAAAACATATTTTTTTTTAAGTTTGCAAAATGTTTCATGCCCAAAGGCAATCTATTGTGTAGAACTCAGACATTATTTTATTTGAATTCCCATAAACGTATGTGCGGCTGGTAGTCGTGCAATCCTTTATTTCAAAGTTTAAAATTTCTTGCAAAAACAAGCTTTATTTGTTACAAAAGAAAGTAAACAAAGATTTGTCCAAAACAATCTCAATCAAAGTGCTTTAGAACACGAAGATTGCGCGAGCGTCCCAAGTGTATTTATTAGAATCGTGCCGTAATACATTAGTTGCAGTGTGCAAAAATAAATGTCACATACACCCTTGACAGGCAACACTAATTAAAGGATAATTCCCAATGTCGATCCTTTATAGAAAGCCAGGCATGTGATTGGTACAAAATAAAAATTAACTGAATAGTTCGACGATTTCGCAATTAAACTGAGATTGCAATTTGAAAAAGAAATGTTTCTGATGACACTAAGTAGTAAAAAAATAATAACAGCGAACATTTCTCTGATGATGAGTTCGAAATCGGTAAGAAAAACAATCATGCTCGCATAGCTACATTGTAAAATCAAAAACCTTCTATTAAAAACCTGCGTGTCATTATTATTATTAGTCCCTATCAGAATAATTCATAAGATTTCCGACTTTTATGAAACTTTGCAAAACAGATTGATTTAAATACAATTTATCCAGCAACTCTTTTATCTGTAATTTCAGTAAGTTAATTGTAATGGAACTTATAGCAGCTCAAACTGACCTTTATTGACAATAAACTACATTTTGTAACAAAGTTGCAACACACAAAATGTTCAATTTAATTAAACAACATTCGAGCCGAAGAAAACATAAAGTTAAGACAGTGAACTTTTGATTAAAAATCAACACAAAAGATTCCTTTGTGAGGCATCTGATTTCATACAAGCAAGCATTTTCCTGGATATTTTCTTCCAGATAAATACTTGCAAAAGTATTTGTACGGCTTCACTTGCGATACAACAGTTATTTTGCTCCTGTTATACAAGTTGTTCAAAAAATCGCGCACTTCCTTGAAAGGGAGTAATTGGGTAGTCCCCCAGAGTACTGAAAAAATGTTTAAAAAATTCTATCTGTCAAAAAAATTTGACGTTTATTTTTTGACATTTGACATTTTTTTAAGTCTATTTAATGATACTGATGATCTTGTATGTTTTTTTTATAATTATTTACTAAAGGTAAAAATTTTGCCAATAAAAGCCACAAATAACACTAAACAGAATTACAATTTAGGATACAGCTTCTTTGTTTCCTCTTCTAATAGCCTGTATCAAAAAAACTTGGAAAATTATTTCTCCAGCAGAAATAAATAGTCATAGTCCAAAATTTAAACTCTCATAAGTTCGCATTTTTAGAGAATTTTTTAAACATTTTTCTTGTTGTCTAGCGTACCACCCGATGACACAGTGTCACGGAAGTGCACGATTTTTTGAACACCCTGTATAAATTTTAACTTTGGTATTTGCACAATTCGTATTATTTTTAAATGATACGATACAACTATAAAACGATTTTATTAGCGAAATCAGACTGCGATTGGATTTAGTTAAATCGGCTTAAATCGGTGTTAACTGCAACTGTAATTTAGTTGAAATAAAAGTTTGTATAAGTAGATGCTTAGTGTAGGATAATTTAAATCAAAAGAATATATTTTCAAGTGCCAAAAATCGTACATGAAGTTAATTAAAACAGTAATTATCCGCTTATTTTTCTTAAAAAAGGTTACTGGACAATGGATTTACTAGAAGAAATTCGTTGAACACAATCTACCAATAGAATTAATTTTGTGCTCCAATTTTTCCCTTATCAATAAAAAACACGTTGTTCAATTTTCTCCTTGCGTAAGATTAAATACGAAATTGGTAGATTTTTTCAGGAGCTAAGCTCACATATTTCAAATTTTGCGTTTAATTTATTTATACACAAAATTCTATTCAAGGTTGACTAAAATAGTCTTTCTTCGAAAATCAATACATCAATTTTATTTATAATTTCCTTTCAGTTATTACAAGTCACTTTCTGTTCTTGATAAAATAGATTAAGTAAAGATTTATTTAATAAAACCATTTGTAGTAGTACTAAGTTTTTTGTAGTAACTACGTACTAAGTAATAGCCAACTAAATTAATTATGCTAAACTTAAATTGTATATGTACAAATACGACAGTTTGCCATAACTGGAAAATTGGTCAACCATTTTTTTGTTAAAAACACCAAATAATAGGCAACATCGAACGTCTATATAAAAAACACTCCTTACCTGTAATGATGCGTAACTGTGTTTTCTTGAAAACTTAAACCCTCTCTCGTGATGGTCATTAACATGTCTATGCCTAAGCAGTAAAACTCTCATAATTTTTCCCTTGTCTTCTTCCCTGATCAACTCTTCTTTATACAATTCTTCTGAAATTCTGTACGCAATAGCAGTCAAATCCCGCTCCTCCATATCAAGAATAACAAGTCCATCTTCAAGACATTTCCTCAGATTTAACAAAGAATGAAAGCTCAACGATGCAACATGTGGCTTTCCCCATCTGTCAACACCTTCCTCCACATCTTCCTCGTATTTGATCCAGCGAGCCGTTTCTTTCCACTCTCGCTCTTCGTTGCTTGAAAACAGCTCATCCAACTCGACAAATATCTGTATACAAAAAGAGAGATTTATTCCGAGTGCGATTTATCGCCTGGCATCATCTTACGGCGTGAGGGCTGTGATCATACATCTTCTTGATGGAGGGATGCAACTCGCCACCCTCTTTCCGGCCGATATGGACCATCGATGCATTGCTTGGTCGTGAAGTTTTGTGTCTTCTGAGGCCGCGAGCATCGTCGGATCGATGGCTGTCCAATTGGTCTCTATCGGCCGCAATGAGAGGTAAATCTTCAGGTTGAGTGGAAATCCGGCGACCCTTGTTACTTCCCGATGCGTCGTTTTTGTCCAAGTGGTAGTTTCGTTTGCGGGCATTGGAATCGTCAGGAAGGGAATACTTACGGAATTTGGGGTGGTGACGTCTGCAAAACCGGAACATGGGAACATAAATGAGTGATGCTGAATGTTCCATTCAAATGATTGTATACTTCAACAATGCAAGCTTACGCATAATAATCAATACTTCCAGGAACATTTTTTTTTCGAGAGAAAGCATATAGGGTGGAACAAAAAGATTTGCTAATAATAAAGTCTACAATTAGCAAAATATAATTTATTAATTTATTACTAATAGTGGTTATTAAAATATCTGTCTTCAAACAGGTTTTTTAATTAATATGTTTTTGTTATTTTTTTGTCTTAACAAAACTAACACATTTGCCAAATAATTCTCCTGACATAACTAATATTGAATATGGAGGAATCAAATTTACATGTGCATTGTTTCCACCTTAATTTGCACCGTAATCTAATCCTGTAATTTAGCCAGAATTCTATCAAAACAAAGTAGGTATTGTGCTGATAGTGAACGTTCAACAATGTCTTAGTCAACTCTATGACCGATAAAATTCGATTTTCACGTTTTGGTTAAGTAACATAAAAGTACCATTGCTAGTAAAGATAAGGTTTAAATATAAAAACTTTTATAATCTTTACGAATGTCTTTCCAAAACAACAAATCCAAAAATAGAAATGCTCTGCATCGCATTTTCTTTAATGGATTCGTGTTTTCCTGAAATTCATACCGTAATAAAACAAAAATAGAATTGTTAACTGGAATATATCAATGAAAATTTTATAGGAGCTTGACGAAACAAGGATAAGTATTGATGCGCTTGTTTCACAGACGGGAGTCTCGAAGGTATTATTTTGTACCGAATTTAAACGGAACAAACTTTATAACTTTTGTTGAATCAAGGAAAATTGTCTAAATACCTTTAAAGCTCCAGTGACTTTAAGACAATGCCTCACTTATGCTGTTTTTTCTATTTCGGAGTTAGAATAAGTCTATTCTTATTTTGTAACTCCAAAACTACAATTTTTCAGAAAAAATTTTTTACAAGCGCTAAACTCACTTCAACAAAGTAAATTTACGTAAGATGAATCATGAAACTCTAACATGTACTTATTAATAATTTCCGGAAAAATATTTATATCTAATGCAATTATCTGTGCTTGAAAACTACTCTTTTACTTGACATTTATTTCCCAAATTCTGTCAGACAATGTGAAAATAATCTATCACACTGAGTTAATCCTTTTTTCTGCTTTCTTATTAATGAAAGTAAAAAAGCATAAAGTTTTTCTACATACTTGAAAATTCCTGTAACAAGCCATTTTAGATATTGGATGCTTTTGAGTAAAACCCAATTTAGCATTCACAGAACATGACAAACAATATTTAAACTTGATTATAGATAGAAAAGTAGTTGAGCTCCAGCAGTCGAGAAGCATGTTTAAAATTGTTGTATTCGTCCCAAAAAAGTTCTTTCTGAGCATTTGAAGTTTTTTATTGAAAAAGTTTACGTTACTAGTAATGGTGTTAGAGAGGTGTTCTACTTCTAACAAATTGTTCACATTAGATAGTCTAAAACCAGGATCAGAAATAAACATTAGTGCTCAGAGTAGAGCACATTTTAAAGCAATACTTCTTCGACCTTGATTTCAATGCAAAATAAAATCAACGAAGCTGATACAAGGCATTCAAATACCTATTACCTCTGATGCTACACGTAATGATTTTTTGTGTTGACTGAAACTTAAAGTAGCATAAAAATCATTGACACGAGTGTTTTGTAAACAGATTGGTGATTGTATCGAACGTTTTCGATAGAAATGATCATTGTTGTGTGCATAACTCCGAAACATTGAAAGTTTGTTGTGCTGCTTTCTGAGCTTTCAGACGCTTTAATATTTTCTATATCGTTTTTTTAATTGCGTCTATTGCGTAATAAATTTGTATGTGTATGTACTCTTATTATAAAATATTACTTTACATGAGTGGCATGAAATAATAATTTCTTAAATCGCATATTTAATTTACCCACGTATAATAAAGTAAACACGCTTCCATTAAACACCTGCTTTTAATGTTGTTTACCGATTCAGTAGATTTATTTGCTCCGAAGCCACGCTGTGCAAAATCTCACGAATATTATTATTAGGATGTTTTTGTTTTCAACAAGTTAAGGTATCAAAAAAGAACATAATGAAAGTAAAGAATTAAAGGATTTTGGATAGTTGGTAAATAGAGAAGAAAAAAATGTAAGACAAAAATGACGATAATGTGTTTAAGTAAAAAACGTATTCCGTCTTAATGAATTAAATAAAAATCTCATTTTGCTATAACAGGATTTTCGTGTTTACTAAAAGCAAGTCACATCGTATTGTTACACCTGTCACAAGATAACCAAATTACAATACGAACAACAGGTTATTCATGTAAGTAAAACAATTTGTTCAATATAAATGCAGTATATAATGAGACGGCCTACCAAGTTTGAAACTATTTAAATATGTATTAGACTGGAAAGGTTGTGTCAAGATATAATAAATGATGCAACATCAATTTCCCTTAGTTGTAAGAAAGCTTAGAACTTTTATTAATTATTATTCCCCTTCAACACTTTTCGGAAAATATTGTGACCCAAATTTCTCTAAAAAAATTAATATTCTTTTATGAACCGGAAAGCTATTCTTCCTTACGCCTTATTATGCATTCTACGTGTCACTGTTGTCAAAGTTTAACCCGGGTACATGGGCTGATGATAAATGTTTCGGAAAATCACAAAAATATTTTGATCAAATTTTATTGACAAATTTCCTAGATAGATATGTAGGTATATCTTAAATACTAATTGCCGTTTTTGACAAAACGCAATCGGTCATCTTACTAAGCAAATTATCTATTAAAGATTCACTATAGGTACTCTAAAACATTAAAATAGCCCATGGAAAGGCTCCTGATTATTGTTAAATAACAAAAGTCACCAGTAAAATCAATAGTTACTTGTTGCATGCAGATGTAAAACGTACAGAAAATCCATCTGTAATGCTCTGATTGATGGTTATATGTATAAAAAAGACGGTGAGGATCTCCTATTCAAAATAAATTAACTAAATTAAAAACTTCAATCAGTTCAACTTGAAACAGTTCTAATGAACTGTTAGCAAAACGGAATCATACCTTTTTTTTATAAAAGAGCCTCCCTTCTTTTCTAATATTTACCTATCTAAACAAAGGTTTATTAACAGAAAAAAAAACACAAAATTATTAACAGGATGTCTGCTTTGGTTGTGTCCAAATTTTGCAAAAGTCTTTCAGGAAATCTACTTAGAACTTATATCAAAACAACTAAGTCTCAGACTCACCTCCTATAATAAAAGTAAACATTTTCTCTGCAAATTAAATGTAAAGCCCCCTTTAGAAATAGCCCTAATTAGCCGTAACAAGATTTAAACTTACTTCTTCTTCTTGTCCTTAAGCCCATCAACGTCAAAAGTATCCCTTGTCTCGCTGTTGATAAACTGTACTTTCCGTTCCGGCGAAAATTCATTAGGACTGTTGTATCCGCAAGGCTCTGACAAGACACACTCTGATTCTGAACTGTTGGCCGCAGTGTCACATTCCTCTGGCAGATTGAAGGAGCTAAGAGGACCCGTATCCGAATCTACGTTTGGAGATTTAATGCTGGGAACAGGAGTGAGTGTGGGAACTGACGGTTGGTCGGAGGTGGAAACGGGAGATGCGACAGCTTCCTTTGGCGGAGTTCCATAAGGCGGAGTTGAATTTGGAGTGATTTGATGCGAGGACGTTCGACGTCTCATCGACTTTGAGCCGATTTTGATGGGCGCGTGCATGTGCGGGTAACTCTTCTTCCGATGTTCTGTAAATAGGAAAACATGGAGAGTTTTAATTTATTACCATAGAAGAATACACAGCAGTAATCTCGTTAATTAAAAGTTTCACCTGCTGATTTTAATAATTCGTACACAGCTGTGACCACCATTTTTACTCAGAAGTTTACGAAGAGAAACGCGAGATTCAATAAGATAACCGTAAATGGTCTAGATACAATTAAGATTTTAAAACGCAAAATGACCATGATTTTATTAATAAGAAAAAAAGAGGCTATAGTGGGGAAATAAGTCATTGTCGTTAAATAGTCTTTCATTGAAATGGTTCTTCAACGCGGTTTTGATGCATTGTAAAAAACTCATAGCGCTCTATATGATTATATGTCACGGCAAGTTATTTCAGTTAAAACACCGGTCTTCGACCTAGTAGGTGCTTGAATGGTAAATAAACTAGCAAAAAATAATTAGCTAGTAATAGAAATATTCATAATAATTCATTTACAGAGGTCGATAAGTAACCTCCGAGGAATCAAATCCTTGATAAGTATACTTAGTCATTAAAAAATCTCTCAAAATGAAGCAAAACCACCAAAAAAGTAACAAATTTTACATTTATTTAATCAAGCAAAAAATAATATTTAATCAATAACAGACATTTGAAGGTTGCTTCAAAGATCTTGAACTTTAAGAGTACACTATTTTTTTCAGTACGTCACGTATTTTCATCAAGTGCCGTTAATGTTGCGGAGATAGTTGATTATATTATTGTTAATGCAAAATATTCTCTAAAAGAAAATTATTTATTAAAAAACGATTTTATATTTTTTAACATAGTTTTTTAGAATTATGAGCTGAGATGATGGCACTGATTAATGAACACTTGAATCGCCATCTACATCTAAAATTATAGACGTTTTTTATTCTCTTTCAAACTAAGACTCATAGTTCTAGTTTTCTACAGTTTTATTCTAAAACTTAATGTAAAAATGTTGAATCAGCTTTACCATGTGGTTATTTCTGTTTTCTGATAAAACACTGGTGTGTGGTACATCGCACGCTTATCTGTTATTAAACTGAGCTTTCCTATTCTGATGGAATTATTTTAGGATAACAAATTCGATTCGTTTTACATTTGTTGTACCATGCTTCGTGCTGCATTAAATGAAACTCTAAATTGATCCGTCAGAACGATAAAATTTATACAATAAATATAGAGAATTATTTGTTTGTAATCAAAAGACAAGACATGCAAAGTCGTAAAGTCAGGATTGAAATAAGTCACTGCACATTAATTGAAAGCTATTTTGTGTATTTTATTTCATAATTGGGCTATAAAGAAAAAGTTTTCTATTTTACAAAAAATAAATTGTTTACAGACATGTAAACATGAAAGCTTTTTTATTCATTGAATATTTTTAGCAAATAAATATACGTAAAACTTTATGTAATCTACTCTCTGATTCATTAACGTTAAACTGGGGTGAAAATAAATCCAAAACACCCAGTTTTAAAGTGTTTACAGTTATTTCCTTAACAATTTTACAGTGTTAAAATAACTTTAATTAAATATTAATATCAGAGCTTGTTACCTGATTACCATTTTTTCATTTACCTCAAAAATGGTTCTAAAACATGTTAGCACAAAACCCATTTACATGCTCCAATATGATGTAAGCGTTTTTTAAACTGCCTGAATGTAAAATCGATGGATTTTATAGTCTTAGGGTATCCATTATTACAAGCTGATAAATTTTACAGCTTATGTATCATTAGAATCTCATTATCTACCCTACAATGAATTAGTTCTCATGTTTTCTAAGTTAAGAGATTTGTAAATAAATGTTAAAAATTAAATGAATCTTGTATGAGTAATTTATTAAAAAATAGACATGTCTAGCATGAAAAATATATAATATATATTTTTTGTTATTTCGCGGCGATATAAAAAACGACTTATTGCTGGTTATTTCAACATCGGTGACAGCAAGCATGTTGTAATGGTTCAAAATAAATATTTGTTAAACTTCACTCAAAAAAAAAGTTTGCTCTAAATTATTTTGAGGTAAAATACACTGTTCTTGTCATTGTTTATGAAATTGGCTGTGACGAATGAATGTGCAATTACTAAAAAATGTAAAACATTAATAAGTAAAATTTGTAAGAGAATTGATTGAATTTTGTTAAAGTTTACAATATAAATGCAACTACTTACGTATGTAATCTTTTTCTCCATACTGTCTTGGTATACCTGGGGCGGCGTCGTGAAATTTGTTAATGTCAAAACTACTGTTGTTATCAGTGTCCATTGCGAACACTTTCGCACATTCTTCATCGAGTTGAACAACATCCCCGTCATGACTGCTTCCATCGTTCTGTAATAACATAACAAAGTTGTACATTTAACAATACGCCTAAAATTGACAATAAATATATTCAGACGTTCTCATATCTATACAAAAAAATTTAAAATATGACGGTAGAAGCTAATATCTTTCTGATTTCCACTTGCTTGCACATTTTATTTTATTCAATACTTTTATTCCCTTCATAAAATGGCTCACTTTGTGCTGGAAATATCCAAAGCTAATGGCTTTCCGTCTGCCTATTCGGAAAAAGTTTCGGTTTTACACTATTAATGATACAAATGAATAAAGTGACTACAAAAAAATTAGAAAGACGATCGCAATCGAATCCTCGAATTCTTACTGAAATTAAAACTTGTTATAGTATCTATATAACAACAATGAACACTTGAGTAGGATACTTATAAAAGTTCACCCACCACAAAATATGTGATAAACTTAATTGTTGTTTCACTCTTTCATAAAAATCGCATGAAATAGATTCTTCTACCACCAGGCTTCAGGTACAAACATTATTAGTTTTACGAAACTTGAAAATAAATAGTTTATCTGAAGTAACGACGCTCACAGATCTTTGTTGAAATGCGTCAGCAATCACTGACGCATTTCAAGAAAGATCTCGAGAGTTGCTAATGAAGGATACATTCACACTTTGACGCTCGTTAATGACAATTCATCAAGTCCAAATATTTAAACTTGAGTACTATTTAATATCAAATTAAAATCTTTCAAGCAAACAATTCAAGAAATAGAAATTGCTTTTTTGTAAAAATTGTAAATTTTCTACCGCAACAATTAACAAAAACATTGGCAGACGCTTGTTATTTTTGATATAATACAAAAAGCAGCTTACGCGTGGCTGTTGATAACACCAAAGCAGAGAGTAACAATTCCTGCAAAACCTGCTACCAACATTAAAGTGTTATATTTCTTACAGTCTTGTATAAGTAATGATGTAATGAAGTTTCAAATGAGCTTAACGCTTTTGTATTTAATGAGCCTTTCAAATAAAGACAACACTTACAACTCTGTTTTGATTTTACCGTTGGACTTGTCGTTTGAATTCGCTTTTACCTTTGTTTGTCTTATCCGCCGAAGAACAATTGTTTAAATTCTAAACATAATCCCTTTATCCTCTTTATGTAAATGTAAGAGGGGTATATCAGCGTTACTCCTGCAATATGATAAACCACATGCGCCAACTACTTCAAGTAAATTTCATTTATTAACACGTCTTGCAATGGTTAACAAAACTATCGATCACAAAGTTACTACAACGTTTATGTACAACTGGTAACTTGGTTTAAACTTTAGCACCTTAAACACCTACCTCTGTATAGCAGTAAGGCGCTAATGTCTAATTAAATTTGCATTGTACTGAAAAGAAAAATACCTAACCCTCTTACTGGCTCCTATGTATGTATGTACTCGTACATACATAATGTGATTAAGACACTAGAAGTGCTTCTTATGTACAGATTATATTCCAGGTGGATAACTAGATGTGTCTACTTCAATGATTTATGAGTACATTGAAAAAAAGTATTCGTAACACATACCTACACTTTCGTAATGGTATAGTAATAACAAAATTTCCTGTGAAAGTGACGAATCAATGATATTTATGCTTTCATTATATCGCATGAAATATTGGAGTTTTGAGCATAGAAATTTCAAAAACAAATTTTCTCTTTTCTACGTTTAGCTTTGTTCACATTTCATTTTGAATTGTCAATTTTACTAAATTGAAAAACGTTTCAACTTTACACCTCAGACCACAACACATCAACTAATTTTACACAAATATAATTTTTACAAAGAAAATAATTTATTTATTTAATGATTAATTAACAAACTTGCATTAACAAAATGCAAATACATATACATGCAAAAAATAATACGAAAAAAAAATGGGATGGCTTTTAAATAAGTCGCTTACGTACTCAAACCAACTATACTCGATTAGTAAACAAGCTACCTTTTGGGGCATGTGAGCAAATCTACGTCAAATACAGAATAAAGTGTGTAACATCCACGCAATTTTTTTACAAAAAGGTATACACTGAAGTTCCTGGAGACAATTTATTTACCTCTAGTAAATAAAAGCAATGTTACAAATTGCAACCTTATTTGAATGCCTCAGAGTAACAAAAAACAACTGCCCTCAATTATTATGATTGTGTATAAAAATATAAAATTCAATATTTCGCCCTATATTACCATTAGGTGTTTTACGTCAGAATGGTAAAAAAAAATATTTATATATAATATGTTAAAATATTTTGATTAACATTAATTTTTATGTATCACGATCACAAAGGTAATATTTTAGTAAGATTTTTCAAATATTTTCCTTTAGTGTGCCAATAATTCTTGTTCCCTGCTGTTATGCCAACAATATATCTCACGCTAGAAAAAAGAAAAATTATATTTGACTTGAAATATTTTTTTGCGGTTCGTGCTTTCAATAGCAGGAACTAATATTACTGCACTAGGTGTTACAAGTGGATTTAAAGACAATGATTTAATATGTCACGATCGGCACCGATGAAGAGAAATTAAATGACAAGATGTTTTACTGCTATTTTCTATCTTCTTGTCATGGACCAAGAGAATTAGAAAAATAAAGAAAAGCCAATAAATATTTGCTAAGAATATCAAATAAGGCGGAAAGCTTGTCAGCTTGGTAACAAAGATGGATCACTGAAGGTGTTGATTGGTGTATCCTGGCTGTAAAAGCTTATTTCCAATAAAAGTAAATTAAATGTACTTACGCAAAATTGAAACGGTCTTAAAGATCGTGCAACTGAATAATCTTCGATGAGTGAAATTAACATTCAAGACTGAAACGTTGTTGAAAATTTAAAAGATGGAAATGTGTGTTTCTGGTAATGGTAATTTCGAGTTTTTAGCGTTCATCACAACTTCTTTGTTAAAAAAAAGTAACAATCTCGCTGTTTTGTGCGCTCAAGAATTATTGCTTTATTCTGCAAATCGCGAGGGCCAAAACTAAACAATTCAGACCATCGCCTTCACGGCTAGCTCGTAAATTCTTTACTGTTACCACACCCTTGTCATTACATTAGAATGCACCTGTTTACGTGGAATGAAATGCCAGATAGTGGCAACAACGGTAATGAGAATGTCGTGAAAGTCACCTTTTCGGACTTGTTATAAATTGTTACAGGTTTGCGAAAAGTGAAGCAAAAATTTAATCCAATTTTTTCACGTAGTTCGAAGATTTTTTTTTTGTCAACTTCTAAAATAACTCGGCCAAAAGTGTACTTACACATAAATAAAAATCACAGTCATAAATATTCATTTTGTCGAACTTCATTTAAATATTAAAATTGGATTTGTGTCCAAAAATATTTTGGATACGTTAACGGCATTTCTGATTTCGTGAGTGTGAAACAAATGAAAATTTCCATCCAACCCTAGAATTAGCAGGAAATTAATTGCAAAATTAGGCTAAAAATTCAAATCGGATCGATTGTGCAAACAGTTCAAACAGTCGGAAAGCTAATCTTCTTCATCCTTATTACCCTTGGAAAATGACAGTAGAGCTCTCTAAAAGCGACATATTGTTACAGAGAGTGGTGTTTCTGGAGTGTTTTCAACAATTCAAACTTTTAAAACGCAATGATCGATATTTCAAACAGCTAAACTACGAGAGAGTTCTGATTGTCCTAAACATGACAAAAGTTTAAACGTAAAAGTGTCCATAAAGCACAGCCATTATCAACCCACTCATCTGGGAGCAGTAAAATAGTAGTTGGAGAAATAAAACTACAATCTGAAAAAACTTTTTATTCTTCCGGTTTTGGAACAGACACAAAAAATTTAATAGTCATTACCTAGGTCATTTATTAACAATTATGTACTTTTTCATTGATTAGCAAAATTGCAATTTTTTATCTGTGGTAGTCAATTTAAGTTCATTAACTTTTTCCAAGACAGTAAGCACAATCTTTGTAATAACTATGTCATGGTAAACAATTGTTATGTTATAAAAGCATCTAATAATACACAATTATTTAGGTCGTGATACAAAATTGCCTTGTAATCATGCATTTCAAGTCCATATGATTTGAATTCATGGTGCTGCAAAAACGCTGTTTTTGTATACATATTTAATTTGTCCACATAATATTTGGTCATTTACAACGGCTTAAATATATGCATTTACCAGAAAAAAATTGTTATTCAATGTTTTAATAAATAAATGTGCCTGAAACAGAAATCAACAAGTTTCACAGAATTGGAAAGAAATAATTTTAAATTAATTTCAAAGCCTTAATAAGCTTAATTTTAAGTCATTTTCAATTACTGTCTTCATTGGTTAATGTCAGAGTAATTTCCAACAAGCGAATAAAAAAGATGAATTATTCCAAATAGATAAAGCGTTAAACACGATATTAAATTCTGAAACGACTTTGTTTCAGCACATCACTTTCTCCCTTATTAAATATCGATGCGATTATCATAAGCTGCTATGATTAGATCACTTAACTATTTAATCTCAACGTCACAATATAGTAATCATCTGTTTATAAATTAGGCGTTAGAAAGAAAACAAATCTGTAAAAATTATCCTAAATCCACAATAATCTGCAGACCTTACCTGATGTCCAAAATTGCGAAACAACTTCAACAACTTTTCTCTCGCCCTTTGTAACAAAGACTTCTGCACTGTTGCGGTTTTCTCAGTAGGCATAACAAATGTTGCATTATAAAATCTTAATTTACAATTTACTTAAACGTCTTATTGCTGAAGAAATAAAATCACTGAAAAGAGCTACAGCAAATAATATTTCAGCACACTTGAAAATTTTCAGGTGCGTCTATTTTAAGCACAAAATAGAAAATCTTTTATGAAACGAGGACATCCGACAAACAGGTAGGTTTTATTTAAATTTATAATCGAGTCAAACGAGCCACTTCGTTTAATAAATTTAAGTGCCTTTGAGAAACTTTAAATATTTAGTAGTACACTAAATTTGATTAAA